TATTTTTTTTTTTTTTTTTTTTTTTTAATGATTTATATATGCTTTATTGATATGTAGTTTATATACCATACAAACAAATTATCATAAGCTATATCCATCCAGTAGGATGCAATCATCAAAATACATATTTATATATATATTAATAAATATTAAATATTATTTTATTGATATAAAAAAAAGGTCTAATATTGTTCATTTATATAAATCAATGTCAATAATTGTCTTTACATGTCCATATTATAACTTTGATTAATGCAAGAAAATTTTTATTATATTAATCCATATCTAACTATAAAGTAGTTTTCATGCCTATTAGCTTGTATTATGTTTAATTAATATTAAATATTTAAATCACCTTCACTTTCATATCTTTATTACAATAGTCACATTAATATTTACTAATCATTACTAAAGTATCAGACTTAACCCTTCTGATTGGTATTATCTTGATCCTTCTTTGTATTATACAAGTTAAGTTAGTATCACGTAATGGGTCAAGAACAATACATTTGCATAGGAATCACAATCTGTATCATCTATTTGTATAATTATAAAATTAATATTACAAGTTTCTCTACTGATGTTTTTAATTTTCTAACAATTGAACAAATGAAAGCAAAAGAATGAAAACTTAAAGATAAAGATATCAATAAATTATATAATCAGATGTTAGGGATAAAGCATTTCTTAAGTTGATAAACTCATCACTTATTTTTGAGTATTCCAGTCAGACTGGCTAGTAAAGCTGATCAATAAAATCTGAAAAAGTAATAAGCTTCATTTTTGTATGCACTTTTATATTTGAAAATAATACTAAATACTTATTTATGCATGCTAGTGTTCTGTACAGATCAAATCAGATTGAATTAGTTCAAATTCGAATTTGATTCAATTGAATTAAATCTAAAAATTTTAAATTTAAATTCAAATCAAATTATTTAAATTTAATTCAAAATTCAATTCAATTTGATTTAGATTTAATTTGATTCAAATTAAATAATGTTTGATAAATTTGAGATTTGAATCAATTTAGTTCAATTTGTTTTGAGATTTAATTCAATTTGATAATTTGATTTGATTTGATTCAATTTGGCAATTTAACAATTTGACAATTAACAATTTGATTTGATTTGATGATTTGATTTGATTTGACAATTTGATTCAGATTTAAACAATTCAGATTCGATTTAATTTGATTTGAGTTTAATCAAATCAAATAGATTTGATTCAAATTTGATTTGAAATTGAATCAAATTTTATTTTTTTGATTCAGATTTAGATTTGAATCTAAATTTGAAATTTGAATTTAATTTGCAAATCAAAAATTATCAAATTGAGTCAAACCAAATCTAAATCAAATTTGAATCGATTTGATTTGACTGAATTATTTGCAAAACATTAATTTATGCTCTTCTTTTTTACTTTTTATTATTAAGTACTATCCAAAAACTACATTTAAGTTAATGGTAAGTGAATCATAATAAAATTAATCGACATGAATAAAAGTAAAGTTTAATTTTTGATAACCATTATTTCACCTCCTAATTTGTTTTTCATTTTATACTACAAGAACTTTTTGCTGAACAAGAACTTTCTAAACAATTCTTTCTGTTTCTGAAATGCATGCAATTAAGATAAAATTCACAATAAAGCAGCAATGAAAAATTTCCTAATATGTTAACTTTAAAATAAAATGATTTTCTTACTAATGCCTTTTTTATATCAATAGCTTTTAATATAGATAATCGTGTTTTTAGAGACCTAATATTATCACTGAAAGTTTATCTAAATTATTAGAATTATTTGATAATTTTTTAGATATATAGTTATTAATAACCCTAAATATGATCTACTTATAACATATATTTAAACATGATTTTAAGATGACAATTTGAACAATATTTTTATTTTTCTGGCAGTTTATATCAATTAAAGTCATATAGATAATAAAGATTTATTTTCTGAATATATGTATTATTTTTACAGCAAATTCAACTATATGTTTCTCACCACTTAATACTAATGAGAATAGTGATAATAATAGTAGAGATAATAATAAAAATGATAATAAAGTCAATAATAATGGTGATGATGATGAAAATGATGAAAATAATCAGTCACCAGATGTGAGTGCTTTTAGAAGAATTTTAGAGTATTTACTCATAATAAGTCAAAAAATAGAAAAAAAAGACAAAATGATGATAAGTTTTTCAATAATATGGAAAATTATAAGCATAGCCAAATCTCTTTTGGCAATATGTTAGAAAATAGTTAATCTGAAGTTGTTTTTACAGCTATGCTTTATAGAAAAGTAGGCATTTTTAAAATGATCGATCTTTATAAAAAAAGTATTCATTACCATACAGAAAATCTTAAACAAATTTAAGATATATCTTGGAAATTCAAAACATTTATATACTGAAACTTTTAAATTATGAGATTAATTATGAGGTATTTATTTTTATTTTATATTACTTACTGGTAAGTTATTTACAGATATGAATAATATCTCAGAAAAGGAAAAAGCAGTTAGCTATTAATGGCTTACTAGCAATAAATACAGTATAGAAACATTAGATTAGAGAATATAATGTTAAAAAGAAATAAGTTAACAGGTTGTTTTTGTATATGATGGATTGATTTTACATAAAGCAAAATGCAAAAAATCTGGATAAGGAATTAATTAAATTGAAACATTTGCTTAGCATACATTAAAATTATTAAGATTTATCTTAAAATTTATTAAAAATATCATTAGGGCACTGTCAGATATTACCCAATATCACTTTAATATAAGAGCTTAACCCCCCTCTCCTAGGTAAGATATGTTATATATATAATTTCTTATATAGTATTGTATATAACCTAAGATCTTTAGTTACCCCCCTCTCTCTAAAATATTAGGTAATATCTGACAGCACCCTTATCTTTTATAGGAAAAAAAACTAAATATAAATATGTATAATGGTGTGAATTTTTTTTTTCAATTGTATTAGTAACTTACTTCATTAGAATTACATATGTGTTCATAGTATAAAATAATAATCTTAATTCATGTATTAATTATGCATAGCATTTGAATGGTTTTTAAAATCTGAAAATAAATATACAATTAATCAAAATAAAATGATGAATTTAATTTAAATATAAATTTAGCTATATCAAATAATGGTGATACACAAAATAATTTAAAATCAAATTATGCAGCTTCCATCAAATAATGAAATTGCATACAGTTATTTTAATTTAGGTAAATGTTATTATGGTGGTATCGGAATTGATAAAATCCTTGAGGAAGCAATTTTTTTGTTTAAAAGAAAGCAGTTTAAAGAAAGCTTAAATGATAATGGAACAGAATAAAAAATGTGGAAGTTAAATTAATAATATTTATTCTCTTTAAATTTTTGATCTTGTTATCTTAGTACTACTTTTAAAATAATGTATATAAATGTTTATAAAGTTTTTTTTTTAATTAGGGTATTCACATCAAAATTACCCAACTTTGAAGTGGATGATTTCTAACTCAAACTACCATTTTCATTTAGGAAGTATTACTAGAAGGTATGTATTTTCGTACCATCTTTTAATAAGAAACTTAGTAATAAAAATCACATAAGTACAAAGAAAAATATAAAATTTCAATTACAATACATGGTATTTTTTATGGTAATCTGATCATGGCCAACTACCCAATTTTTTTTCTCTGAAGGTGACGTTCAATCACTTTACATGTATATGTGTGAACTTGATGAACTATGAGCTCTTTTTAGCTTAATCGGGCGCGTGAAGCACTTCCCTCAATGGGATTGGTTAGTGATTATCAATTGAAGTATACAATTTGATTCTATTATATTGTGAGGTTTGATATATCATATGACATATAATCATCATATGAAATTCCATATTGGATCATCATTAATAATCTTAAATCAAGATTGTTCTGTCTCTTCTCGAATATTTCCTTCTTTCAATCTTTCATCTTTCATATTTCAAACATTTCTATCTCTCTTACTTCAACATTACCTTCCCTCAAATTTTATTCTTTTTCTTTCATATCATCCTTATTATTCAACTATTCTCATGAGTCAGTCATGAGCGTATAATTATGGTTCTGTTAACAAGATATAAGTATAGATTCGTAAATGAAATAACACATTGCTTCAAGTTTACCTTAAATATGTACGCCTTTTCGATCATTTCTTAGAGCAAATACAATTGGTCCTTGCTATCATTTTGTCCACTAGAATAAACTACCTGCACAATGTATTGTATATATTTGGCCACCCGTTCTAAAATCAAAAAATTCAAATAATAAATTATGTGATCTAGTAAAATTTTTAAACGAAAGCATGTTATACTCACTATAACAATGATGCCAAGATTCAACCATTTTCTGATGCTCCTTGTTGAGGGTGGTGCTATCGTTGTGTAAATAAAGAAATTTGTTCCTGAAAGACATTAAGAGAAAGTATGTTAACCTGCTGTAAATAGAACGTATAGCTGTAAGCGTACTTACACTTTAGCACTTTCTCTAGATCCTCGGATAGTTTGGTAAGATCATATACAACACTTTCAATAACCTCCACCCAACCTTGATTGTAATCTCCATACATTAACAATAATAATACTATCCTGACGGCAAGACATTAGCACTACATTTATAACGTCCAATTTACATGAGCAGTTTTACAAACATTAAATTCCCCACATCCTGCAAAATAAAAGGGTTTTTTTGACTCATAAAAAGGATTGTTTCTGCATCATGAAAATTCAATTATTTTTCTTGTAGTCAAGTTTTCACAATAACGACCATATTACACCCAACGCGTTATTCATCGGACATGACTTGATTCTATTACAAATTATTGATCTAAACAACAATTATATATATCATAATTTTATCTCCTCCATTAAATCATATTAAAACTTATTATGCTAATTCCATTCGGATACATTCCCAGCTTCTTCAAATTACTAGTTCCTCTCTCACCAAAAAAGAAAAAAACCTTTCTTTTATATAAAATGCAACCATAACCTTTGTGGAATTTTAACATGGTACTTCTAAAGAATATGTTAATATCTTGAATTCTTGATACTTTTCGTAGGTTCATATTCTAATTTTATTAGAAAGGATAAATTTAGGACAATATCCCTTAAATCAAAGAAACTACCACTATCACTCTATTTCCGATTTTCTGGATAGCGACTGACTTTTAATATTCTTCCATGTAATATAGGAATTGATAGAACATTTAATTATTGATATTATATTTAACAAGAATATCTATCCAATTATATAAGGACTTAACAAACAAGTAACTTCGATAACAATTATTAATTGCTCTTAGTCGTCTTGTCTTCGTCACTTTATAATGACAACAATATCTCATCCAAAATCATTCCTTTAGCAAGCTTCCTATTTCACATATGAAATAATATTTTGCGGTTCAAGTGATAATGGCCGTATAACTATTAATTATGGAGAAACTAATTCGAGAAAAGAAGACACTTAATGAAGTTTGTAACGTTCTTTAGGATATTCTTCTTATTTCTATACCGTTAATAAATCATACCTTCTTGAAGACGTGATAAAAGAACTGTGTTGAAATTGATAATTGTATAAACTATGATTCTAAATAAAATAAGATTATATTATAAATATAGAACTTTGAAACATTAGAAATACACTTGGAACCATTGATGACCATAAATTGCATTGAAACATGCATTTTATTTATACCTTCAATTATTTAACCATAATATTTAGGAGGTTATCACCAGCCTCTAATTCTTTATAGTCTAAATCCAAAGTCTTGAGCATAAGACAAGTACAAATACCTATATCTACAATTATATCATCTTTAGATGAATTAAATTTATAAGAAGTTTTCATTTTGTCACGGGAACGTCGAATTACGCGATTTGATCTTTAGGTTCGAATAAAGTAGTGACCGTGAGGACATGTTTACATGTATTTGATTTTTTTTCAAACGTTACCAATGTGAGAGATTTTTTCAAAATGATATAAAAATTGCGATGATCAGATGAATCAAACCTTTGCTTTTTTTTTGTAAAACTGTAAATATACGTTTCGAAACACAAGCTTTTGCGACTGTAGTTTTTTCTTAACATTTCTGATTAACTAATTTCCCTATATAATTTAAAAAAGTAATTAACAATCAAATCTAAAAAACTAGCTTAACTTTATAAATACTAAACCTTTCCAGCCTCCGCGTTTTTCCTAATACTCATTTTTCCTAAAAAATAAATAATACTACAAGATCCTGACTCCAGTACAAAAACTTTTTTTCTCATAACAGAATAAATGTACGATGATCGGATTCTCGATTTTTTTATCATGTGTGTAACGTAACTTTATATCATTTCCATTATTAGAAGTGTTATCATCATTTATTATGTAAGCATAAAACTAACTTAAGTAAGTCAATTAAGAATTTTAATCTTGGGCGAAATCGAAAATCATAAAAATTAGACGAACCGCTCACAAAAAGTTATATAAAAATGAAAATAGATTTTTAAATATTTGTAATAGATTTAAACCGATCGTAAATTATGTCAAAATGTAATTTACATCAAAATGTTGACTAACAATGATAAAATTTAAAATTTCATTGTTCATATGCAATATATGCACAAAAAAAAAATTTACTATGAGTTACAGATATTCGAAACTAAATTAGATATTTTATTAATAGCCTAAATGATGTAAATGGTGATCATTGTCTGAATAAATTATACTGAAAGTAAAATTGGAATTTCTGAAAATGTAATTATTAAATGGTGAGGGAGAAGAAATTATTTGCCGAGTAAGTTAATAACGAAAGGATACGAATTTACTGCTAATGTAATGTAACAAGTAAATGTGATCAAGCAATGTAAAATATTATTCCGAAACCTCCGAATCCCGCAAAACCCGTTTTATTTAATAAAGCAATATTTATAGATTACAAACCAGTCAGTATAACCAAATTAGTAAATTCGTTATATTTAGTGAGGTAGTAGTTACACGATTGAAGTTTCCCGCTTTTCAATGAATAATTATTAAAAGTTAATGATTTTGTCTATCACTTTCTCTCAACTTTTCTTCTTTTAAATAAATGTCCTTAGTAAAGGTAATATTTAATACAATTTTTTTATATTTCTTACTTGTTTCGTTTAATTAATATAATAAATACCAATTTTTATACGAAGGACTTAATAAAAAAATAAAGCGTACTTAGCGGAATAACTGGTAAAACGACGATATACATACAATATACGAACTCTTATATAATCCGTAAATAATTTGTTTAAAGGTTCGAGCATGACTCCCTTACTCTAAAAAACAATATTTCGAAATTTAGCAGAGAAAAGAATAACGAACTAAATTGAAAAAAAAGGTTTTCATTTATAGTAATAATGAGGGTAGAATATAATAATTCAATACAACAAAAGATAATAAAAAGAAATTGGTATAGGGTTATTATAATTGGAATATTATTATCTCTTCAATATATTATACCGGTTGATGCTGACCCTGCTGAAGCAAGATGGTAAGAATAAAAAAGTGAATTTGACTTTATTTTTGGTTTAAATAATTAATGTTAATCATGATGATTAGGGGTCACGCGTCTGCTTTAATTAATAACGGGTAAGAATTCTCATATAATAAATGTATATATAAATTTTTTTATTCTTTTATTATTTATTTATTTATTTATTTTTATTTTAGACTTTATGTATATGGAGGTAGGACAGCTGATTCACCAAACAATGACACATCGAATGTGAATGAATTATTATATTTAGACGTATCAAAATCATTTAATCCCGCGGAACCTCCATGGGAAATAAGAAATTCATTATTGGTAACCGGAGGTCAACCACCATTTTTATCATTTCATTCATGTAGTGTGGGAGGAAATCAAAATGAATTATTAATATTATTTGGAGGTGCATCAAGAGAACAAGATCCAGAAGATAATCCATTATTTGAATATAATACAACAACCGGAACATGGTTAAATCTTGCTGTAACAACAGCAAATACTCCTCCGAGAAGAAGTGATCACACAATAGTAACAACAAGTAATTCAATTTCTTATTTATGGGGAGGAACTCCCTCTGAAGCTGAGGATACGAATATTAAAGCATTAAATCAATTATATAAGTTAACTACAGGAGATACAATATCGTGGGAATTAACTACAGCACAAAATTCAGTTGGTAGATGGGGACATTCTGCTACTTTGTTAAGTGATGGAAAAATGTATATCATTGGCGGATTATCCGATGGAAATATATTAGCTTCAATGACAGAAATCCCTGTTTATGATACCTTTCGAGAAATATGGTTAAGTCAAACTGCTACAGGGGATACAATTCCAGCACAAAGAAGGGGACATAGAGCAGTTGGAACAGAAGACAATAGAATAATTATATATGGAGGAACAACAGCAGGTCGTGAGACGTATTTTGATGATATAGCAGTATTAAAAGTGGTGGGAGATGGATTAACATGGGAAACACACACAGTAGCAGGAAACCAACCACCAGGAAGATATGATCATTCAATGACGTTGGTTGGATCAAAAGCAATTGTTACTTATGGTCTCGGAAATGATTTTCTTGATGCGGGAACAAAATTATTTGTATTCGATATTGATTCATATACATGGGAACAAACTTATAATCCAAGTCCATCTGTTATGCAAAATCCGTCTACAGTTAGTAACGAAGCAACTCCAACTGATATGGCTTCGATGAAGACGAGTAGTTCTAACAATAATTTAGGATTAATTATTGGGGTGTCTGTTGCTGGCGGTGTGGCAATTATAATTTTGCTTGGATTGTTATTCTATTATATTAGAAAAAGAAAGAGACAACCCCAATTTACTTCCATGCCTTATGAAAAACAACAAGCATCAATCCCTCCAATCGCTGGTCCTGCTCCATTATATAACTTAAATAATTTTGGTCCTTCATCACCATCACAAGGAGGTGCTGGTGGAACTACTGATAATGCTCCATTTATTCCTCCATTTGCCTCTACTAGTCATCAACGTCAACCTTCTCTTGGTTCATTAAGTGAAACAAGAAATTTAACACCTGTCGATCAACACGATTCTTTGGGTTCGGCTCCAAGTAATAGCTCACAATCTCAATTACCTCAAATTAATATTCCTTACGATTCGAGTTATTATAAACCTTTCACTTCTAGACCTACATCGCCACTGGCTAACCCAAACCCTAATGTTAATTACTTACCTCAAACACATTCTCCTAATATAATCCCTACTCCACCTCCTTCCACTCCTACTCCACCATCTATGTCTCCACCTATTTCTCCGCAAAAAGATATTTTCCCTAGTAATGTTGCTGCTACTGGTGCATCTAGTAGTACAAAAACATCATCGTCTAATTTACGTTTAGATTCTGATTCAAATACAGCTCCCGTTGAATTTGATTTTAACCTACCTCCTGTAGCCCCATTATCATTTAATCGTACAAGAACTCCTTCTCCTTCTCAAGCACAAGCACAGGAACAGGAACAAGCACAGGCACGACAACAACTTTCAACACTCCAAATACCAATATCAACTTCTTCATCATCTTCATCTCTACCACAAAATTCATCAAATGATTTGGTTTCGTCTCCAATAGAAATGGAAACAACAGAAACGACAACAACGACAACAGCAGAAGATGAAAGAACGGATGGATCATTTAATAGTCCGTTATTCCGCACAGAAGCGTTATCTGCATTGGCTGGTACTGCTGCCGCTGCTTCTCCTACTGATAGATCATTAAGTTTAAGAAGTGTTCCTAGGTTAAATACTTCAACTCCGAGGAACAGTATTGGTCTATCTTCACCACCTCCTACTTCAGCTAGTAGTAGGTTAAGAAGTAGTACTTTGGAAGGTCTACGTACTCATGATGGTAGTGCAACTAATAGTAGTAGGCCTACTTCTCCTACTTATACTAATACTCCTGATGATCAACAACCAAGAGGACGATTATTTGTAGCAAATCCTGATCCATCTGATGAGAGCGATTAATCAAGAAATGTTTTTTAAAAATAATTTGTTATATAATTAAGTCTTTGTATTTATAATTTATCAACTTTATTTTTATTTTTTTTTTTAAAAAAAAAAAATAGTATTTATTTTTGTTTACATTCAAAGAAACACAAAAAAAAAGATTGTTATTTCTTATTTTTGATAATTGCAATAAGAACAATACAAAAAGAATGTTTTACGGTTTTTACGCCGAATATCTGGCTTAGGTATTTATGACCAACAAATAAATTCATAACGTGACGTGAACACAACGTCCTGTCAAACAAAATTAAACTAGCCGTTTAAAGAATTTATTAGATCAGTAGATCTTTTTAACCCCACAAATTCTGGGTATTTAATAATCATAAATACAGCAGATCTAATTTTTTCGTCTTTTCTGGTAGATCAAAATTTATTTTAATTATTAACTTTAATAAATGTTATTGATCGCTGCTTCCGCAAAAGCGGCACAACTTAAACAAGTGCTTACATCTTTTGCTTCTGCAACTTCAGTTGTTTTACTTCAAACAAAACAACGGTTAAGCTTTGCTGTAAACAATAATTCTTCCCACGAAAGTAATGGAAGTTTTGAAAAGCGAAGTGGTTTGGAAATGCCTGTAAAGCCAAACTATCGTGCACCAAGATTACCTATCATCTTGTGCCATGGTATGTTATTGAAATCAACGATATGATGTTTTATATTTAATAAATTAATAAATGCTAATTATGTTTTAAATTACGACTAACGACATTAGGTTTATTTGGATTCGACAAACTTGGTATACGGAAATTTTTTAATAATGATTTATTATGAATTTGTTATTATTTAATGATATTAATTAATTATTCATAATTAAGGTCCTTCCTCTATTCCATATTTGCAAATTCATTACTGGGGAGGTATTCAAGAAGCCTTACAAAAACTTGGTGCGAAGGTTGTTGTTACCAAGGTTCCAAGGTAAATAAATCAAAAATTTATTAATTATTAATCGTCCACATAAGTATTAAAATGTTATTTCAATTTTAAATAGGACTGGTTGCATTAAAACACGAGCTCAAGCATTGCATAAAATGTTGGAAAATGTTTGTTCAGGAGGAATTGATGTGAATTTGTTGGCTCATTCAATGGTTTGACAACCAACATTTTGTGAATATCCGATAAAATCTTTTTGAAAGTTTTTAAAATCGTTAATATTTACCAATAATCAAAATATTTCTTATTTTTAGGGTGGACTGGATTGTCGTTATTTAATTGCACATCTTCCTACAACGCAAGTTACAATCCGTTCATTAACTACTGTAGCAACACCACATCGAGGAAGCTCTTTTATGGATTGGTGCAGAGATAATATTGGTGTTGGTGAAGCTGTAAAAGCTGTGGATGATGTTATAAAGCGACTTGAGGACCAGATGTCTCAAAAAAATTCAAATCATGAAATATCCAAGAATGAACAATCTCATAATAATATGAAACCATCTCCGCCCTACCGGGAAAATAATGATAATTACCAACAGATATCAAGAAACGTTAACAAAGAGAAGCGAAATCAGAAAATTATTGAAATTAACAATCATGATTCCTCTTCTAAAGGGAGAGGTACAAGTAGAAAATCATTCCATATTCCAATTCCCAATTTACCTAACATCTCAATTCCAAATTTAAATTTTAATATTTCCTTACCAAATTTTAGTTTTTCGAATTTTAATTTATCTTCTATACCACAAACCACTTATTCTTTTCTTCATCCAGCTACAAAATCACTAATTCAAGCATTGGATACACCAGCTTATGGTAATCTCACAACAGATTTTTGCATTAATGAATTCAATAGGACTACACTAAATCATCCTTCAGTCGCTTATTTTTCATATGGTGCAGCAACAGATTTACCAATTTGGTCACCATTATATTTTCCTCATCAAATAATTAAGGCAAAGGAAGGCCCAAATGATGGTTTGGTTAGCGTTAAATCTGCTCAGTGGGGTAAATATGTTAAAACTGCTGAATGTGATCATTGGGATTTAACCGATAGATGGAGAATTAAGATTGGTTCCAATTTTGATCCCGTAGAGTTTTATTTAAGTATTGCTACTTTTTTAGCTAGTGAAGGTTATTGATTTTTATGATTTTAGTTAATTTATATGAGTATTTAAGTAGTATTTATTTAACAAATAGAATTGATCATTCCAATCAGCTTTATTTAATTTTAAATCATGATTATTATCGTACCCTTCTAATATTTTCAAACTAATAGAAACTTTCTTTTAACAATTGAGACGAAGGATGGTTGCAAGAATATATGATAGAATTGTACGTTCTTTGATAAACACTTTATGGAAATGCGTGAATAAATTATATAATTAATAAAAAATTTTCTAATTATCTTTGTCATTCTGATTATATCATTATATTGGTTTTCTTATTATAAAGAAGTAAATAAAATCTGACGTGCTAATAAAAAAGAAAATAATAACTCATTTAGGTGTTGATAATTAGATGAAACAAAAATCCAGAAAATATAGTCATGATAATGGAATTGAAGGTTTGAAACTACTATTAATTAACAAATATAACTTATTAAGTTAATCATTCACTTTACGTTTCTTTTCTAGTTAAATTTCAAAATTTAGAATCAGCAATCTTATCTAGTCATAATTTTTCAATTTTGGAATTGACAATAGAGCTTTTCAAGAACTCGTTGATCAAGAAAGGTTCAATAGAAATGACATAATAAATAATATGGTATCGGCAGATGCTCTTTCCTGTTCAACAAGGATTTTAAATACAATGTAAATTCCAGCAATTTCTTTTCAACTTGACTCATCCAAAATCCCTAACAAGAAGGTATCCTTTTCTACTTGAATTTTCTCCTTTTGATATAGTAGTTCTATACAAGCAATTTATCTTCATCTCCTTGAATACTAGAATCTCTCATCCATTTTCTAATGTCATTAACGATTATATCAGCCTTTTTCTGAAAATCAGGTAAATGTAAATTTGAGTTAATTTAAATAAAGTTTCTAGTTAAACTTCAAGAGATTATCAGATCAATGCTGAATCTTAAGGTCTTAATAATAATTAATTTCACCATCATGACTGATAACAAAAATAAAAAATTACCATAATCACAAAGACAAACTTTTAAAATTAAAAAAGAGCCTGATTAAATTTATGTTTCATTATTATAATTCAAACATTTCTTTAAATTTTCTTGATCTTTATATTTGCCGTTTATAGGTCTAGAATTGAGGTAAGGATCTTGTCTTATCGGGAGGAGAGGATTATTATCCGCCGATATGCTAGTCTAAGAGGTTTCCGACTTTAGCATCCGATGATTATCATAAATAATTTTCCGTTTGTTGAATAATTAAATAGTAGTTATATTACTTGTAACGGGAATTTAGATTGTTGTTGATCTACCTCTTATGGAAATTGGCACGCACGTTTGGAACCCATCCATGGTCTATCATGGATTCATGGAATAAATAGAATCAATGCTTGCTATCCTTTTACCATTGTAAATGCAATCGAGAACCGTACATGTATCAATGTTAAGAAATAATGTCGTTCGGAATTGGTCAAAATTTATAGGAAAAGCTCTGGGCTGTATAAAATAAGACTTTCAAGAAGTGGAAGATTCTAATACGTAATAAAAGAAGCCCTTGAGAAATCCCTGACGTTTGGTATATTCATTAGTGAGATAGAGGTGTGAGATAAAAATTCTAAGTGGGCTAAAAACATAGCTCAGCAGTAATGAAATTGATGATGTAATTAAATTTAAATTGCAGATCGCTGCCGATCATCCAATAATTGGCCAAATAATTATCAAAATTTACTAGGTGCAAGAAAAAAAGTATTGTGTCGATTAGGTAAAAAAAAAGTGAGCAATTCGTGACTGAAACTGGTAGCGCGACCCAGTTCATTGCCGACTTTGTTGAGATGAACCTGGGATTATTCTCGGAAAATGTGTTATATCAAAATGGGGAGATTCTAGTACGGCTATTTGCATCCGGCAAGTTCTCTACTACCCAGAACTTTCTCAATGAGATTGGGCTATCTAGCTGATTCAACTTTACCATAACCTCCTTTGAATCTAATGGCACCTAATAAGAGATCTTTGGAAAGAAGTTTAGCAATGTATTCCTACTTGTTATATATCACTTAACGAATGAATAGCCAAGATATTGCCGTAATATTATTTTGAGAAAATGATCTCGAAGTTGACTCAGATTTGGAAGAGACCGCTCTCAGTACAGGTAATAGTAATATGTAGATAAATGTTGATGTCTATTGGTTGATCAAAACGAATATTTCTCTTCTAGCTATAACCTTGTAAACATCAATCATGTGATGAACTGAAAATAAGCGAGCGTAAATAGGCAGCATATCATATACTGCAATATTCAAGTTTATAAGATGACTTTTAGACTTGGATCGAATTATACGCTCGTTATGCGAAAATAATAAATCGACAACCAATTCAGAGATTGTCAAGGTAGATTCTAATACAAAAGATATTTCTAATGTAGCTCATGGTCCAGAAAATGCAATATATGTACACACTTTGGTGGGCGATATGAGTGGAAATTCATATCAAGTAGTGGTTTATAATAATAATAGAGGATATTCATCACGGAAGGGTAAATGATCAATTTTTCTATTTATTCTTTTACTTTTGTTCACTATACTGTATTTGTTGTATTTCTTCCTAATTAGGAATTGGTTTATTAATTATTAGGTAATATGGATTAGAATCTCAATAAAAGAATTCTAGTATTTACGGTGGCCTCATCAGCATTGGTAATTGACGTAGGCAAATTCCGACGGATAATCATGGTCAGAAAGTGATGGTTTAAGTAAATTTGGAATTACATCAGTGCATAATTAATTAGGAAAAGACGTGGAACCACATAATGTATCATATGTTGTATTAACGGTTAAGTACTACAATGGTGATTCTATTTATTATGTTATCTATTGTTCTAGTTCTAGATGGACTAATAATACATACCATGTGTACTATTTACTGATCACATGAGTACAAAACACTTTAATCTCATGATGATTTCGTCAAAACTTAATATCTCTTTTTTTTTAATTGATTAATTATTAAATTTGACAACCAAAAAATGATCTATTAATATTATTGCGGTAACTCTTTATTGATTTCCTTAATTTTGATGAATAATGAAGGTTTTAGATAAGCCATTCAAGTTTTTGATACTGCGGTATGTTTTTACTATGATACAACAGTTTAAATGACCGCCAAACTAAAATTCTATTTGCATGATCTACAATAGATCATTGATAATCATAGTTCTTTAAATAATAATATTATGGTCTCATGATTCGAAAGAGAATCCACTTCTGAGTTCTGATGTTCTAAGTATAGCTGTATAAGATTTACCAAAGTTGGATTATACGTGTAACGGTAACCATTGTATAGGGGTAATACCGTATAATTCCGAAATTAAGCATCCTATTTTATGTATAATGTCGGGCCAAAGTTATCATAATGCTGGTAAAAAAATCGGAACAATGCGTTCCCGGTCCGGGATGCATGAATGGAATTTTAAACAAGTTATAAAGCAAGTTTTTTTTTAGAGTTCATGGCGTCAAAAGATCTTTACACAAATTATCTTACGACCTAGTTTTCCCATGATACCATCTAAAATCGAAGAACTTCTTCAATAAACATTATTCAAATGCAATTGAAAATCAAACAAATACAACATTCATGTATAATAATTGTAATATCCTCCTTTTCGAAATAAATAATTCCTCTGCGCCATAGTTTTAATGTTTCATTTCTTCATGTTGGCCAATACAGTATTTACGTTACCTTATTGATGTATGTATATTTATTATGAAACATATTAATATCTACGCGAACATCATCACGTTGTAACATGCGGATATTATTTTTGAGTTACAATTTATATTAATGTGCATCTCAATCGCGATCTACTTTTAATTCCATGGCCATGTCCTTTAACTAAATTGGATTCTAATTAATACAATTGATTGGTTGTTTATATGATAAATATTAGTAATTTATTAATCTTGTGGTTATGTACCTTTGAGTTATCTTATCTTTTAATTTTAACAATCTTTAATATCATCAAAATGTGACTCTTGTTATTTCAATTAAGAACTGTACTGTTATTATCGTTATACCCGATTATTTTTGTTTGTTTATATTTATAATTAGCATTACATTTACATTTTCCATTCAAGAAATAAAAGGTGATCTTAACCGTTTTTATACATAATTTTTTGATTATGTTAATATATATATTTTTTTTATTGGTAATATTCGAAAAATTAAGTTCTTTTTAAATTTCCAAAATAAATTCCTTCATGATGCACTGGCTGCATTATCATTGAGAAACACAAAATATTTATTTTCCCTTATCATATCGGAATTTTTTTGATAAGGTAATTTTATAAATTACTTGCTATTCGAAAGCTCGGATTTTCTTTTGATCGTTTCATTTGAAAATGCTCCTTTCAATATAAGACTTTATATTACTTATATAGTTAAAACAGATACAATCTTATACATTTTTATTTTTTTTTATTAAATTTTTTGTTATTATCAAAATTTACACTCCTTAGTATCCTTCTCTCATTATTTTTGTTCAACTAGTTCCCTTTATAGTTTATGAAAAATGTCCACAGCTACACCACTAGACGACTCTATGTTAGTAGAGAATAAATATTTTCCAGGAGATATAGCATGGGTGTTGGTTAGTACCGGTCTTGTGTGGCTTATGGTAATTTGACTTTTCCTAATTTCGAGTTTGAATTTTATTTTTTTTGCAAGGTTATTAAAATATAATGATAATTTGTGGATTTTTTTTTCAATCAAAATGAATAACAGATTCCTGGTGTAGGTTTTTTTTATAGTGGTATGGCAAGAAGTAAGAATGCTCTCTCTCTCATTCTGCTTTGCGTCCTTTGTGGTGCCGTAGTTACTGTACAGGTAAAGAGTTCTTAGAATCTCATTTATGTGTAGCATAATTTATTTTTTCACGCTAATGTGTTAACAATTATTATAATAAATTTTAGTGGTTTATTATAGGATATTCTCTCACATTTAGTACAAATGGAAATGGTTTCATTGGTAATGTAGATCACGCTTTTTTTCGAAATCTCAAAGGAAATCCATCATTTGCCAGTCAAAGAATTCCAGATATATTATATGCAGTATATCAAGGAATGTTTGCTTCAGTTACACCAGCATTAGCAATTGGTGCAGCTGCCGAAAGAGCAAGAGTAGTTCCATTGCTAATATTTGTGTTTGTATGGACAACCTTAGTATATGATGTTATTGCATCATGGTCATGGTCAGAAAAAGGATGGTATGCACAATTAGGCGGATTAGATTTTGCCGGAGGTACGCCAGTACATATAACATCAGGTGCAGCTGCATTAGCATATTGTATTAAATTAGGAAAGAGACACGGTCATGGTACGGATGAATTTAAACCGCATAATGTAGCAAATGTAATATTAGGCACCACTATGTTATGGTTTGGATGGTTTGGATTCAATGGAGGTAGTGCCAATGCCGCTAACATAAGAGCAATAATGGCATTAACCTCTAGTAATTTAGCAGCTTCTGTAGGTGGAATAACATGGATGTTAATAGATTATAGGTTAGAAAGAAAATTATCTGCTTTGGGATTCTGTTCTGGCGCCGTAGCAGGATTGGTGTGTGTCACACCAGGGAGCGGATATATTAATGTACCATCAGCTATAGCATTTGGAATTGTTGGAGGTACATCATGTAATTTTGCTGTTAAATTAAAACATTTATTAGATTTTGATGATGCATTAGACGTTTTTGCTGTACATGGGGTTGGTGGTATATGTGGAAATATTTTAACCGGTAAGGAGTAAATAATAACTTTTTTTATTTATTTTTTCTTAAAAAAGAATAGTAATTAAAGCATTTTATTTTTTTAGGTATATTTGCCCAAAAAGAAGTTGCAGCTTTAGGTGGTCAAGTAATTCAAGGGGGTTGGTTAGATGGTCATTGGGTTCAAATACTTTATCAACTTGCTGATAGCTGTGCTGGTTTAGCTTATAGCTTTTGTGTTACATATATGATTTTATTTATAATGGATAAAATTCCTGGTTTACATTTAAGGGTTGATATTGAGGCCGAAGAACAAGGTATTGATGATACTGAATTGGGTGAATTGGCTTATTATCACGTTGATCGTCTTGCCGGTTTACTTAATTCAAATTATCTAAATAACTCAACCAATACTTCCGCTACTATGACTAATATTAATAGTGGTAAACTTCCAATACAGCAAGGCACTAATCAATATATACTTAGTTAATTAGTACGTATTAAAACAAAAAAAATATATTATTTAGATTTTAACCATATAATTATTATTTTAATATTATAAAGTTCAAGGTTGTTTTTTAATTTGCATAATATATAGTGTATACACATATATGATCTCTATTACAAACCTAAAAATACAATAATAAAAATGACCTACAAGAAATAGAAAGCTTAAATTTCAATCATTTTGCAGTATTATTATATTTTAACTTTCGGAATTTGATACATAAAATTAGTTATTGGAAAAGAACCGCTTTTTCTTTATTTTCGTGAATGATAGAAAGTTGTTTCAGGCTGAAAGAGAAGATCTTTAGCACACGGGCACAAAACATTATATAGCTTTACCAAATCCCGGAACCACATCATCTCGTAGAAGGCATTTAGCGCCACGCACCCAAAAAATTTTTTATAGTTCTGGCCAGAATTACAGTCGATTACTCAAAAAAAAAAAGTATTTCATGAATCATGACTAGAATTAAATGTCTATTTATCATCGGAAATATAATTATTGAATAATTAAGTCATTTGTGATAATTTTTACTGAATCTTTTATAAACCTATTTGTTATACATATTCTTTTATGTACTGTTACTCTTGAAATAAACTTGCTAAATGCTAAATTTTCCTTTGAAGATACCGTATGACACCGAATAAAAAGACCCTTTTGGTGTATCCCATAAAATACCCGTCTCAATATATGTAATATGTGGATCTATTTAATAAATCTTATAAATTATTAATATTAAATTCTTCTAGTACTGACGGGATTAAAGTTATACCTGGGTTTAAATCAATATTTTAAATCGGGTAAATTGATTTAGACCCGTATATTTGGTCGGTGCTTATACAGTAATTATTCCTTGCATGCAAGTCGCACTATCGGTTTCAATAATAATCCGTAATATCCGTAATATCCGTAATTTTTGGTCCTCACATGGACAGACTGCTTCTAAATTAGTCCTGTTATATATGAAATACCTAATAAGTTCTAATAAAAGTAAAAGATGATTAATAAGAAATTGATAAAAAAGAAAAATACAGGTTGAAATATTGTTTATAAAACTTACCATTCTTTGCCAAGATAAAAATATAAATTCATTATAATATGTTTATAATAATAAATGTGATGGATGATCCCTCGCAGCAAACATTTGAACTAATTTTTTTCTTAATTCCTTGATTTTTTTATAATTAAAATTTTAGGATCTTTTTTTTTGTAAAATTATAAACATTTTTATTGGTAAATTTTTATTTTACTTTTTATTTTTTATTTTATTTCCTAGAAGGAAAAAAAAAGTTTTAATTTCTTTTTCTATAATAATACGTTAACGATCGACATAAAATTTTTCTTTTTACTGCGCGTAAAGGCAATTTACCATCTTATCACGCAAAAAAAATCACCTGTACATTGATTGACACGTTGATAAGTGACAGGGTCCTACTGATAACATAAGATATTAACGAATTATGTGTAACGAAGGACTATATATTTCTTTTACGTAAACGTTCATGCAATGTCCGGATGTCAGACAAAAGTGTCATTCTTGATTTATCAATAATAAAATAAATATATGTCCGTTAAGAATCATACTATAAACTTATTAAGAATGATATTTTTGCTTCACACGTAACATTGTACAACAAAAAAAAAAAAAACTTTAGTAAATGATACTTCGGACTTAATAACGGTTTCCGTGGCCTAGTTTTAGTTTATTTATTTATTTATTTATTTTTTTTTAAAAAAAAATGGGTTTCAGCTTTTTTACAAAGAATATACACTGTCTCTTATACACATCTAGATGTGTATAAGAGACAGTAATAACGGTTTCCGTGGCCTAGTTTTAGTTTATTTATTTATTTATTTATTTTTTTTTAAAAAAAAATGGGTTTATATTGAAATAAAATGTTTTTTTACTTAGCATGTATCCTGATAAATACAAGTTAGTTTGATATGCAAGAAAAAAAAAGTTCTCAAAATGTTCAAATTTGATGCGGTACAACAAATTCAATGAGATCTAATGATGTCAATTTTTTTTTAAGGTTAGATACATATGATATGAGTTATAAATGATACTCATGATATTCATGATTCGCATGATACGCATGATATACAGCACAATTAAAATATTGAGAAGAAAAAAATTAAGGAGTGGTAACTAACACCATGTAAAATGTAAATAAAGAAATCATCTTCTTACGACTTATTTTAGGAAAAAAAAAGTGGGAACATCTGAGCTTAATTTGAGGGTGATGTTCCAGAAAAAAAAGGGCTGGTGTTGTCATTCATGAAGGAAATTTTCTAATGTATGACTTGATAACACTTACCTAAATTCGGATTTCGGAATTGTTTATATAAAATCATACAAAAGGTTAGCATTAAAAGTCCACCACTGAACGACATCATCATCAATGAATCAATATATGAAAGGGGAGTTCTCCTGAAAATTTTTTTTTTTTTTTTTTGAATATTTTATATGCAATAGAATAAAATGTATTCCCGCAATTCCTTCTATTTTTTTAAAAAAAAACTTCTTTTCTTCTTGACTATCACACCAATAACCGAATTTGGCCATTTTAATTGTTCTCAAAACAGTTATTTCAGTAGAGGAATAAATTCACACGACTAGCATATACATTTATTTATATATATATTACATAAAATGTCAAACTTTATTATTATTAAATTATCTAATCCGAATTTGAAGGGACCTTAATGGAATAAATATATTTGGTATGGGACACAATTTTTGTAAATTGCTGAATATAGTAATTAGGGAAAATAAAGCAACATTACGTAAATTATGCAATAAATGTATTTTAAATTTTATTCGTTCAACCTTAATATCAAACAAGATTTTATGAAAAAAAAAATCTGATGGTAATAAAAATTGTTAACAATAAGAAAGAGAGAAGAAAATAAAGAATAATTATCGGAAAAACCCTAAATCTAGTTGGATTGCACATGAATTAAGTCAGAGGGTTTTTTTGATTATCAATGTAACAATGAGGTCCGTTGTTCACGGGAAACTATTTTTTTTTTCTTGAGAGAAAGATGTTTGTCGTACATCCAATATATTTAAAATTTCAATAATTTTTAATGGTTACATTAAAAACTTCAAAATTTTGTCTTTCATTCCGAATTTATTATTGGGGTTTATTTTTAACATATTGTACAACTTTATTAAGGTTGGAAATCATATAAATGCTTTTTGACATTTTTTTTGTAATATATAATAATTTGCACAATCAACAGGAATCTTCAATAAATATTAACAAATTTGGTACAGTACTTCTTGAAAACTCCGCCGGTGGGAAAAGATTAAACAAAGCATTAAAAGCAATATTATTGTTCTGAATGCATGCATGTATTCTAGCTAATAGAATTTTTTTATCTAATCATGGCGTGATTTCTTTTTAGTAATCATAATGTGAAAATCTGTGCTTACGTATTACATGCCTTGAAACTCCATAAAAAATTTGGCAATTCATTAAAAGCACGTTAATGTTTAACTCCTGAAACTTTACGCGTATTTTTGATCGATAAAAAAAAAATTTATTTATTTTAACCCAATATAATTAACTTAATATAATAAATTAAACAAGTTTAAAATGCTGAAATTTTATTGATCCTTTTCATTTTTTTGGTTTTCTTTGTTTCAAAAAAAATTTTAATGTGAAAATCATGTATGTAAGGATGTAAGGTAAGTTAGCGTACATTTACTCCCGCGTAAAGTTATTGATTCATGTTTTTGATCGATAAAATAATAATAATTTTATTTAAATCAATCTAATCCTCTATTTTCATTTCAAAAAAAAAAAAATTTTTTTTTTTTCCTTTTTTTCCTTTTTTTTTTTTAAGACGTTAATTAAATAATGTGAAATTCTGTATGTACGCTGTTACACCTGAAACGTTCGCGAAAGTTATTAAAGTGTAAAATGTTATAATTATGTTTTTTTATGTAATATAACACAAGTTACGCACGTACGTTGAAAATATAGTTATAGAATCTAGACATTTTAAAATCCAATGTCAAACCTCGTACTACNAAAAAAAAAAAAAAAAAAAAAAAGAAGACAAAGAAAATAGATTCCTATAATCTCTATATTTACTACCAAATTAGTAATTATTTATTGTCTGTCTCAGCATAAACTAGAAATTGATTGGTTAGGAAAATCTCCGCTAGACAACTTAAGAATTGTACGACGGTGCAATGAAAATTAAGATTTATTGGGTACTTATTTGGTCACTTAATAACAATAACAAAATATTTCAAGATGATAAAGGATTAATGAGTGATATTTAATATAGAATTGTTCTGACAGTATATAGTTTACAAAGAAATATTTAGAAATATATATTTTCTCATAAGATGAGGAATAAATCTAAATATATTTATTACGTCTTTGAAGTTATTATAAGGCATTCTTCTTTAGAGAAGATTCTAAATTTCTCGAAGAGGTAGAAGGAAGAAAAATACAGTAATTATAATTTCTATGATCTTTAAAATATCTCACAAAACACACTGACGATATTTATGCATTTACTAATAAATACAATAAATTCATTTTAAGAATAATATAATAAAACTATCGCGTATTCATAGTTAACTTTATTTGAGTGCAGGATGAACAAGGACATAATGAAGTGTTATCCTGAACTGTTTATAGAGATCCGATAACTAAACGAATAGGCAGTCAAGTTTCGCGTAATTAACGTAAATTACGTATTAAAAAATACAGATGTTTTTTACAGAGCGAAAAATCTTTTGATTATTTCTATAATCTGTATCAATATCTGATATCGGCAGAACTAAGTCGCCTTTTATGTTTGATTTCAATTTAAACAGAGTTTTTTCTTTTTGCAAAGCCTCTGTGTTTAAAGCCTCTTTGGTTTCTTTAGTTTGAAATTTCAAAATCATCTAAATCTATTGTTTATTAATTTATTTAATAAGATAGTAGGATAGTAAATTAATAAATGTATAAGCATAAATGATTTGCTGTAATATTATTATTATTTGAAGTTTTTTTTTTTTTTTTAAAAATAAAAAGAAAAAAAAATATAAGGAAAATAGAAAAAATAAATTCAATCATATTTATATAAAACGCGATATAATTGACACTTCTTATTATATGATATTCAATAAATATATAAAATACGAAACGTTATTTTCTTTTGCATTTTACATGCATTAAATTGGGATTACGTATTTATTAGTCATATTACACATATTTATACAGTAACACGCAGTACTCATTAAAACTTTGAAAAAATAAATTGGTCCAGATATGTCAATTTATAATGATACTTTACTATTGAAAAAGTTATAATTTCTGGAAATTTTAGAATTTAAGTACACATATTTCAATATGATCGGAAGTACCACCGAAACTATATAGTAATATAGCAAGATAGTAAAAGTTGATCATCAATAGTAAATATAATAATTTCGGTATTTATAAGCCGATAATACATCATTATTATAATAATTTAATTGAAAAGAAAATTTTTATCCTTCGCTATCCTTATTATTCTAATATTTTTTCATATTTTTCTCACTTTTTTTTTTATTATTCATATTATTTTTTTAATGTTTTTATTTTTTTCTTTAGTAAGTATGACAAATTTCCTTAATAAGTTACCCGGAAATGTGTGGCTTCAATTAAAATTCATGAAAACTGTAATGATGAAGTATCAAGCGAACTAAGGTTTAAGGGAGGTAGTTCAAAAAATCAATTTTTGCTAGTTGCGCTTACTTATGATTATCATTGTAAATTTGAGGTAATTTTTTTTTTTAGGGAATAAAATAATAAAATAAAACATTTTATGAGAAAATTTAAAGTAGCTCATTAATTTCAATTTGAATAATTGAAGGACATATAGCATAGCATGTAGAGTATTATACGAGCATATATTCTGATATGAATTTTCGCATTTATTTTCTTGATTTCTTTTTTTTTATTATTTTTATTTTTATCTTTATGTTTATATATATATATGAATTTTTTTTTTTTCAAAAGGACTGGAAAAGGGCATTAATTTCTCATAGGATGCTAAAAAGTAAACCTTAACTGATAACAAGTTTCGACACGATAAATGTACATCACGTGATGGATATATCGGGGACCATTTCCCGACGATCAGAAGCCCACAAATCGGGGATAATCCCGTACGTTAAGATACTCGGATAAATACGGAAACTTAGTGCCTATACTAAAAAACCAAGGGTATTCGGTATCAAATTTACTAGTATCAATATCATGAATTATAAAAACCCGGATGACTAATCCGACATGCTGTGAATGTCACGTAACAAAAAGTATTTAAATACTTTATTAGGACAATTGTTTTTTCTTTTAGTCATTTTATATCTCTTTCGTTATTCTAAATTAAGGTTCAAAATCCATTACAAATCGATTACGATATCAAAAAGATTTAAAAGCCCTGTATATGTATGTATGATAAGAAATGGAAAGTAGGTGAACAAATCATTAACTTATTATATCAAATTTATTTAGTATTTACTTATATTTATATGATCTATAAGTAGTACAATGATACAATTTATTCTATTGACGAATCATAATACCGATCCTTCTAGATTTTACCAATCTATAAGATTTATTGTAGCATTTTATATACTAAAATTATCACCCATCAGTTGTATTTCATAACTTTTTCCATTTTTACTTGAATCTTCATTAACCTCAGGTTAAACAATAAAAAGGTCCAAATAATCACAAATTTCAAATTTAACTTTTTGTATCCGGCTCATTTCGATTAAAACTATTTTTGAAACCTTGTTCTATTAATAAACCTATTAAAAATTGATGTATACTGCAATTTTTACAGCATCAAAAAAATGTATTCAAAGAAATATGTATTTTTTTTTTTACATCATCTCTTGAATCTTTTGTATTTGCTTCTTACTCTATATGCAAAGTTTCTGAATTTCTGATTTTTCATAAATAATTCTTTACAATTGTTTCTCATGTTTCTCATGTCATGATAAAAGTGTTGTGAGTTAAAAATATATATATATATATTAGGGTCCATTCCATACCATATTTTCTTATTGTAATCATTTGAAATTTTTGAAATACACACATAGCTCTTAAAATTCCGCAATTGTTGGGCAGAATTATAAATGATCGGTGCCGTGAACTTCTATATTAAGTAATGCCAGCCTCGTCTCTGATCCTAATGCCGGCTATTGCGGAATTTATCTGGGTCGTTCCAGTAAGATGATTTAATCTCGTTATTTAGTTATTTAATAGTAAAATATGGTATAGTATAAACTATATCTGATTTGTGACGTATCTCAATAGCTCAATAGGGACTAAATTTATTTTCTTTACTTTTACCCTTTGAATAATTAGATGAACAAGATTTTGGTTTCGACTTCTCGTTTGCCTTCTTTGCGTCATTTTTTATATCTTTTTTCATTTTACTTCTGTATTTCATATTCCAATAATTTTTAACTTTATTCTCAGAATAAAGTTTTCCGAACAATCTAAACAATTCACGAATTACTTTTCTCCAGCGGATTTTAATTTTATCGCCTTTCATGAGAAATTTTTGAACTTCATGATCGATAATGACTTTTTCGTAATAACCCAAGTCATCCTTGCATACTAATTGAATAAATACAATTTACTGTATGTTAAAATATTTCTTTAAAAAAATAAAAAGTATTAAAAATAAAGATTTATTTACATTCCGGGTTAAGATAATTTCTCCAACTATAAAGTAAAAAGCAGATATTATTATTTTCTTAAAAAAAAAACAAATTACTTAATAAATTATTCTTACCGTTCGGAGATTTGACTGCAAGTAAATTTTTCATTCAATAATCCACTAATAATTACGAAACGATTAGTGAATTTTCCATAAGTCTTCATATGTTTAATGATCATATTATCGTCCTACGACAAAATCATATCATTAATAGATTAAAAATGATTAATTTTTTTTTCTTTAGGATCTTTATTTATTAACGTACTTCCTCGGTAAAATAAAACGCTTTCGAACGCATTATTATTATTTTTAAAGTTTCAAAATTTAAACAATTTAGTTTTCATCAACAAAATTTCTCTAATTTTTAATTGAATAATGAAAATTGATCTTTAAATAGTTTTTTTAAAATCAATTATGCTGATAAGGCAACAAGAAAAAGAGTTTTTTTTTTATTGCGTAAATGAAGCAATTTTTGGCAATTCAATAATCAAGAACTGTGTTACTGTAGCAAAAGTTTTAGAAATAATTTCGGAATTCGGAACATACCCGTAATAATTATGTCATGGGCTCTATCTTATACATTTATCTAATGGCTTCTTTTATTATTATTACTTGTGTTCCTCTTTAAAGCTTCTAATAATTTTGTAATTCTCTCTGTGGATAGTGACGATCCCAGATCCAGGATATTATTTATTCTATAAAAATTTTAACTGAAAAGCAATTTAACATATTGATTGTCTATAATGGTTTATTCCTGCGTATAATAAAAAAGTGGTTTGTAATTAAATTAGAAACTCACTATACTGAAACGGTTATCTGTATTTCGCATATTTTGAAATGGTAAGACCCTCTATTCCTAAATTCAAAGACAAAGAAAGAGTGCCTTTTGTCACTTTGTGCGGTTAACTTATTTGATTAATTTGTGATACAAAGTACTAGCGCCAACAACCGGAGTTTTATCAACATTGTGCGGTAAACATTTAGTGAATAACGTACAGCGGAACATTCTGGAATTTATTTTAGTTCTATTCAGAACAGTCTACAAGAAGCTATATAAAATAGTTCGTAAAAGTAGAGCAAAAAGAACTGATAATAAGCCGACATTCTTCGGTGGAAAAATAAGAAGGGAAGGTTTATATCTAAACTACTAGAATAGACAGAATAGACGATACACCAGAAAAGACGGACGGAAATAAAAATAAATTATACAAAACCATACATAACTGCTATACGTAAAATACTGTCGGGTACAGACGGAATGATCAAATAAATTTTCAAAACAAGCGCTAATCAGAATTTTGATCACGTGGTTCGCGATTCTGAAAGTCGGTTAATCGTCGTGTCGAGAATTAAGATAATCAAGATTACCGAATAATTTTAACTATGGTCATGCTAACGAATATTCTATTATTGAGTTTTTTTTTACAAAACTACTTAGGATATGAAGATTATTCTGGAGGTTTTAAACTTGAGAAGACGATGTCTCATCTGCATTAATTCTGTACCTACAAAAAATTTCTTTTATTTAATTATTAATTTCCTTTTTGTTAGAAAGGATAAGATAAATGACATGGATTATAAGCTATACAATTGTTTATTTATAGATTAGTCATATGGGTACAATTTAATACATTCAGCCAATTTTCGTTCTTTGAGCCAATAAAATCCAACTATTTTATGTTGCACCATGCATAATTTACATTGTACCAACTTAGATATTATCAACATGTTTTTAAAAAACAAATATTCGAATATTCAATCCAATAAATATCTAAAGTTTTATATAATATGATCTAGATTGGACAACAAAGATCAAATGAAATATTATCATTATAACATATTTGAATTATTTATAACCTTTTTTTTTTAGGGTTTCATTCTCCCTGCTTTTAATGATACTGTATTTAGTTCTATCTATAAAATTTGTAAATAATTAATATTATATATAATATTAACAATTAAGTCAATTAAATCCATAAAAAGAGTAAACCCCCTTTTAGTCGGATAAATTTAATGATAAAAACGTATATGTCTTTGTATGCATCTAATATTTGTGATTCAAATTTGATTGGTATATTAAAGAAAGATTTTTTCCAACTTTTAACTAAATTGATTTTAAAACCGTCAAATTAAATAGGTATAAATATGACTTCAAAAGGGCGTTGAAAAACATAAATTCTATATATATTTTCTTTCTCATAAATTAATATTAAATTCCTATACCATTAACAATGTCGTTCATTCCCCAACAATCTTGTGAGGTCATGAAACCGGAAAATCAACTTCCTGAAACCATGGAACAAGAAAAGATGCAACATCAAATCGTTAACAATTCTCTCTGCGAATTGCGGCACATGAAAATTGGTGAATTACCATCTCCGTCTACTCTGACCAGGAATAAAACGTTAGGAAGACCGCGCAAACATAATCCGTATTATCGCAATATAGTAGCAGCAAGTTATATATCTGGACCAAACTTGTTACAACCGAATTACATTGCAAAAGATATTAGAGAGATGTGGAAATCAATCAAAGTTAACAATGTGTCAACCGTAGAAGGAAATAAAATATTTACATTTCATAATACTTTTTCTGGAAAATACGAAATGGACAGTGGTACGCGAAAAAATGTACATTCAGTCACTAAATCATTTCAACATCTTCCCCAATTTTTCCAATCCTTCTATTCCTCACAACCTTTTCAACAACCCTCCTTGCATCAATTGTCTTCCTTACAACCTTTCCAACAACAACCTTCCTTGCCTTATCAAGTCTATTACCAACCTTTGCTCTTTTCCAATACCGTCAATTCTGAATTGCCACAACAATCTATCAATAAATAATTTGCCTTTTCTTATTCGTTTCTTTCTATATAACTATATAAATTAGGTCATTCAATTACATTTCTATATATATATGTATATATTATCTTTAATGATCATTTAAAGGAATATGTTATATTACATGATTATTAAATAAAGTTATAATTTTCAAATAAATAATTATTCGAGATATTTTTTTTTAAAATTAATTGAAATTATAAAGCTATATTATTATAAACTGAATATGGTAATATCCTATAACAGATAACGTTGAATCAATTAAAATTTTTGTGCGTATTAAAATTCGTTACGATTCACGATATTTTATGGAATATAGCGGATTTATGTAAACAATAATTCGGTATTGCAATAAGAAACTTCATTGAAGAGTTATCTGTATTCTGTAATAATCGTAAGACGCGATCTTAGATTTTTCAGATGTTATAGTAGGAAAGTAAATGTGTGAAATAATATGGTACTTTGCCCAATACGGATTCCAGAAGCTACCACCACATTTCCTAGAGGCATTAGCCCATAACCAATCTTCATCCCATACAGTATTTGGAGGTATTACATAGCCCCGGTAACAGCATTGTTACTTCTGCGCCCTCATAATTCGATCACGTGATCATAAAATTGAAAGCCATACCTTGTATTATTAATTTATATATATATATTTTTTAAAGAATATTGCTAATATCCCACCAGATAGAAGGTCTACCATTCCCTATTAAAAATTTGATTGGCTAATTTTTTTCAACATTATATTTTAAAATAAATTTTAATAAACTTAAAAAAAAAAAAAAAAAATATTTATATTATTAAAAATTGGTAAACAGACTACCAAATAACTTTATTTAATTTAATAGTAAGTAATTTGATTTAATTATATTTAATAAATAATAAAAAAAAATTATGCTTATTGTTAATTAAATTATTACTGATAAAATTAAAAGTATTTAAACTTATACTGATGAGACATCATGCCCATTATGCAAGTTAGATCATAATGATGAAGAAAGTATAGAAGGTAGGTATAAATCCAGATCTTACTTTATTAAATGCGAACAGTGTGAAATTGAGATAACTCATTATTTTACAATACTGTATTTGCTCACGCTTCATTGTGATATTTTTTTACAGGGCTAATTTACGTTGACTATACTTACTATAATTTAAATTGATTTGCAATCATATAAAAAGACAATATGACCAAGTCCGATAAAGTATTAACCCCGAATATCTGCCAAATTAAGTGGGTTACTAAGCGTTTTGACGGATAAGATTCATTCTAATTTATATAAAAATATAAAAAAGAAACTGGGCATGAGCCATGGCAATTACCAAGAGCTGTGATAAGTATGTCACCAGAACCTAAGACCTCTGATTTCAAGCCTATCACTTATGAAACAAAACCAGTTCCAGAATTAATTATTAAATCTGTCTTAGAGCACTTCCATACTTGAAATTCCGAAATAGTTTCAGAGGGATTGATAATTATAATTTTGTATCTGCTCAGCCGTGGAGTTCACCATGTCCTATTTGTAATGGAAAACATGGAATTATGGATTACATGGCAAATGGTATAAAAATGGAACGGAATATTGTCTTACCTGTAACAGTTCAAGCAATAAATTTAAGTTTGCGATTGTAGCATAGGCCGGTAAAAATTCCACCGCAGTATTCTAGAACAATATTATTAACTTCGAAATTTCAGAATTCCGAAAGGTATCATTAACAGACTATCTTGTAAAAGAAGAATAAACTGAATAGATTAGTTTAGGTTAGCGTTATCATGTACACTGTAACAAGTTACGACCTGTATTTCTCGTACGGTCAATAAAGCAAAGACACAATTAGCGCAACTAATTTACCAGATATTACAGTATATTTTTTTTCGCATGGTGTTGGTTGAGGGATCGAGGGAATGGTGTATGCTAAATTTTTCTAACAAGTTTTATTATAATAATTTAATCCAGAACTTGATAAATGCGCAGTAACGTTAGAACATTTTAGTATAGACGATATCATGTATCACGGGAATAAGTAATTTATTCTCGAATTTTCCCAAAGCTTTTACGCATAACAAAAAAGACCTCCTTGTTGATCTTTGTATATGGGTAGCGTCAAAGTTTTTTTAAAGTGGATCCTTTTCGTGATGCGATCATATTAACGTAATTTCTTTCAAAAGTGTATAGCAAAATCGATCCTGCGAATTATATAAAAGGCAATGTCCCAGTTGGTGAACCCTTTTATCTGCCTTGCGCAAGTAAAGCAAAAATAAAACGAAAAATAAAACCTACCATTATTAACATCATCGAAATCAACAATCAAACGAACTCACATTTTCCGCAAAGTTATAATAAAGTAGGTTGGTTTTATTACTGGGCTAGCTTCTAAAAGAACATCATCACGATGTTAATCAATTTTTCTGACTCTATAGATGCTTAAAGTCAAAGCGGATATATTATCATTCCTGATCTTTTTAACATATTTGATATTCGCCGAGAAAATCGTGATCGTTAGCACGTGCCTCATCGGCGCAGTGAAATACAGAGAAAAAATCACATGACTGTAATTTTAGCCGGCAAAATCTTATATTGGTAAGACTTAACACATTAAACAACGAATTTCGTAAATATAAGACGGATTGGAATGTTATGAAAATGAATAGTGGTAAGCTTGAATCGGAAATATTGCATTTCTTATTTTTTTTAAACCCAATTGCTAATTCCCCGAATTCATTCTGTAGTCTCGAATTACTTGATCTTAGCGAAGTTCTATTATTGGAATAATCTTTTTCATAGTCTGTGTAGATGATAATGATATAGATAGACAAAAATTTAGTGGGATAATTTATTTCGAAAATCTAGTGTTATTTAGTGATAAAAAAAATTAGCTATAGATATTTTTCGAAAATGTGAGAGAGCAAAAAAATAACTTGATGTGGGGGCTCGCATTAAATGGCCTAGGATCCGCATCTCTTTGATAGCATCATACATTTCATTTACTCATCTGACTCTAAAAGTTTCTCAATTTGAATTTTATTTTTATTGCATTATGCATTAGTCACATTATTTGTAAAAATAAAAATAGAAAAGGAAAACTTGAAAATTTTTTGAAGAAAATATATATATATATATATATATATTTCTTTCTCGCTTTCTCGCTAATCATCGTTTCAAAAAAATAAAAAATGTTTGTTTGATTTTGCGTCCAATCCCATCTCCATCAATAACTACTTGTTTTTTTCAAATTATCATCACTCACACCTCAAAATTAATCACTTTCTAATCACTAAATTAAGTCTTTTTTGTTTATATAATCATCATCATCATTCCTTCAACTACTAAATAAAGTAAAAAAGAAAAAAGAAATAAACACTGAAAGGAAAAAATAAATCAACTAATGTAAAAAGAAAATTGTTCGGTTTTTTAAAGATTATTTGGTTTTTTGGTTTTTTTTTTCTGTACAGACTTCGAATAAAAAAAGAAAAAAATAAATCAATAGTAAGTATGCTATAAAAAATAAATAGCATGAAAATAATAGTAAATACTTTTTTTTAAAACAATGTTCAATATTTTTTATCAAAACATATGCCATTTTGAAAATTTCTAATCAACTTCTATAATTTTACAATGTGAGGAGAGTATGTTAAATATATTAGCATTTTCTTGAATATAACTTTCTACTGATCGATGATATGAAAATATATTGTTTCCCAAAACTTCATTTAATTCCTCAACCTTATCAAAATATTTCATAAATGCTAAAAAGCTGAGCTCATTAGACTTCAACAAATCACTGATAAGTCTTCTTCCTACTTCATAATATGGACCATTCGGAAGGAGTTGTGCAGATTGAAATTTCTTCTCAACTTCATCTAAAATCGACTGTTTAACGACTGCATAAAAAGGGATAAGCAATTAATAAAAAGCAAAATCATGCGAATTCATTTGATGCAAATATAAAGCTAATCTTACCTTCGAAGGTTTGTCCAGCCAGGAAGTCATCTGCCACGGTCTTTAGCTCTACAATGCGCCCCACAACCAAATCATATAATTTTTTTGCATCTCCTTCCTTGATACTGCGCTTCTTAACCAAATATTCCATTGATGTGTTCCTATCAAGGTCACCGATTTTAATTATAGGTTTTTTCGCACTATGAGCTAAAATAAGAATAATAACTTGTAAGTAATACTATTCTCAGGAGCACAAAAAAGAAATAACGTCATACTTACATTCCATTCTTCGAGGTACATTCCCTTCACTACTAACAAATACAGCAATGTACTCTCGGTGATCAGCATTCATTTTAGCGTCATCTTGAAGAGTATCAAGAACTTTTGGGTTCACATTAGCTAATTTGGCAATGTTGTCATAAATGATGACTGAAGGTTTATTGTGTTTTGCTTTGTACACTGCACTAGCACGCTTGAAGGCCTCCAAGGCTCTTTTCCACTTGGGACGCTCATCTTTACCTATAAAAAGTAACATTCAGATCAAAAGCTTCGGTTGTAAAGGAAAATAATGATCAACTTACCATGGGTATCACCTAATACTTTCTTCGTAAGCTGTGACATAAAAGAGATACGTTCCTCAAATGCGAAGTTAAGAGATTTTCCAAATGCTATGCCAAAGTTCTCTATATCTTCTGCATCAGCAGGAATTTCAACGTATATGACTCCCTGCCCTGATGCACTTCTGATTAACGTGGTTTTCCCGGTCCCGTGTTCTCCACAAATCACATGATAACATGAATGATATCTATTCGGATGAAGAATTTTTTTAAGACGATCTACAACTAGAGGTCGGGGAACAAACTCATCATCCGAAACATCAACTTTAGGTCGAGTTCCTTTTTTCACGGTCTTGTTAAGTTGACAAACGTTATACTTGTTTTGTATCCAATCATATATGATATCTCCTGTAGTGTTGGTCTCCGTAAATAGTTGTAAGTCCAAAAGTCAAGTAAATATAATGGCTGTAAATCAGAATTACCATATTTTAGCTAACCACAATAGTGTAGTATTTACAGCCAATTTACAGCTTACGTTTATAATATTACAACCGCTAAAAGTTGTAATTCGATATATAATAATCGTTACTTCCGAAAATCTCTTCAGCAGAAGTGTGGGGGAGAGGTGAAGAAGAGTTTGTCGAGAAATAAAAATAAAAAAAGGTGCAACGTCAAAAACATAAATATAAATGTGAACATAAATATATATTTTTTACATGATACTCGATTATTAACGAAATGGAAGAGCTGGAGGAAGACATTAGAAACGAATATAACGGTTTGAATTATTTCGAATTTAAAAGAAGTTTGAGAGAGTTTCTTAGGGATAAAAAAAAAGAAAGAATTTTGTTCCGATAAAAGAAAAAGGAAGAAAATTTGTTCCGATAAAAGAAAAACAATAAGCTATTTGATCAAAATCGGCTTATTGATATATTAAATTAAACCTTTCTGAATACATCGTGACTAGACTCTTGTAGTGACGTACGTAATATAGCAAATAATACAGTTACTCATTAGACTCATTAGATTGTAAAAATTGTAAAAAAAAAATGATTAAAAAAGATACTTAAATTAATTAAATTAATCAAATGACTCACGAAAAAAAAATAAAAAAAATGACAATTCTCCGATTCAAGGTATTTATTAAAAAAGTGGTTTAATATTACGTAATTTTCATGTCGTACGAGTGGGGAAATCTTACCACGCCACCTCATGTTACACAGCCGATCACCGACCCACTTTCCCGAGCTACCCCTTATTCAGTTCGGACAGTTGTCATATTTCAAATATAATTAATATACACGTAATAAACAATGCATATAACAAAAAATTAAACCTTTTTGTTTAGTGTTTTCTATACTTTTATTATAAGTCAACTTAAAACGTTGTATATGATATAGCAACTGTAAATGTTAGAATATAGCGTTAGAATTATGGCGTTTTTGCTTTTTTGTAGGAGATAACGGGTAAATATTTTTTTATCATATATTTGTTTTCCTTTTTGGTTTGAGATCTTTCTTTCCAAACTTTATTCGTAATATCCTTCAAATTTCTAACATCTTCATTATCAATAATTCTTTCTAGAGTTAATTTTATTTTTTTATTCAAATTTCTGGCCTCGTCGTCTACTCCATCAGGTATATTTTCTGATAATCGTTTTATATTATTTGTTATAAATTCCATTTCATTTAAATTAGCAAGAATATTAGTAGCTGATACAATATATTCTTTGTTTTCATATAGCGGCGTCTTGTTTAATATTTAAAGAACCTGTTAGCATAGTTTCTTCGGGTTGAGACGAATAGACGCGTGATGGTGATGATGTAGATGGCGAAGTAGCCAATTCGTGGATTTGTGTATGTAAACATGAAGATTGAATTTCTTGAATGTAAATTTTAATGTAAGAAATATTTTTTCTTAACAAAATAACATGAATTATATAATATGAATTATAAATTTTATTAAATACCTGTATTATTTTGTATAGAATTATTGTTGAAGTCTTTTTCATCAATACATTGATCTTTAATATATGATAATATCAATTTATTTTGATGGTCTTTTACTTTTTTAATTGCATCATCTCATGATGGTAATGAAACGTAGGGTGATCGAGAAGGTGGTGATACTGAAGTTGTGATGATTGCAATCGATCTAAAGAACCGATGCTCTTAAATGTTTACAAGCACCACCTCGTGATAAAAAATCCATACATTGACATTGAATTTTTGGAAGTTGAATAATATATATTTTTGGCTCAAATTGAGTTGATTTGTCTGAAAGTACATGAAGATATAATGATGTATAATTATATTCAACGTGAATTATTTTTTTTTCCCGCATATTCTTTTAGCTGCTTCGTCACGATTAATATCTGGTGTAAAATAAGCAATTTGCTTATAATGGTGTTCAAGTTGAATTTGATTAGTTGGTGAAAATGTATAATTTTGATATCTTTCAGTAAGTTGATTGTTGAGTCGTTTTTTTAGAGTTCTCTTTAAAAGAATATTAGGTGTAATACTTTTTATTGAAACAACTCCTAAAATATCCATTCGCAAAAGATAATTATTATTTTTGATATTTATGTAATTGATGCGTTTTTAATAGATTATCAAAACTTTCAAGATGATTATTTGTTGTAGGTATTTTCTCTGGCAAAACTCCTAAGATATTAGCAGCAAAAATTCTTCCATATGCACACCATCCAATAGATAGATCTCCAGCCCAATAATCTCGAATATAATATACAAAATTTAACGCACTATGAATTACATTCAATTTAGATTTTGGAATATTATTTTGAATTTGATTCTATGAATTAAAAATAAATTTAATATAATATTGTGATTTTTAAAAAATTTAATATAATAAATTTATTTATAATATTTACCTTTAAATGAATTTCAGTATTAGTAATTGTGTGAGTTATTTGATTAATATAAGAAGAGTCATTAACATTCTTTAAATTTTCAGTAAAATTTCTCAGAAATTGGTATATCTCCTTTCTAAATGCTTTCTAAATGCCATGATTTCATGGCCACCATGATGTCCAAGAACGGCTTTTAACTTATCTTCCCAACTTTGAGAAACGTGAAATAGACATAAGATTAAGTGAATGTCTGGCCAGACTTCAATTAAAGCTTTTCGTTCTTTATGATCACAATCTGTCATTGCAACCTAATAATTTTTAAAACAATAATAATATAAAATTAAAATACGTTAAAAGCAATATATTTTATAGCAATAAAATACCTTTTGAGTAAATTTATACCACTTTTCCTGCTCTAATCTATGTTTATAATATAATAATAATTCCTTTAAAATTGTATGATTGTAGCTACTACTAGCTTTGTGTGTGCCTCCAGCTGCTGAAAAAAGCAAGTATCCAATAGGTATTCCCTTATTCTGTTCGTCTAATACTAGTAGAACAAATAATAATATTTTTTTATTTGAAATAACAAAAGTTCCGTACAGATGCAGAATTTTATTATGGCCAAGTTCCCATGCTAATTCTCGCTGTTCTTTAGTAGCTAAAACTTATATAAACCGATCATTTAATTCTTTTTGTTAAATTGTTGCTTCCATTATTTCATTATCTTTACTATCTGGCCCAAATAATTGGTCTATATTAATTTCTTCAGCTTTTTGCTTATCAATTCCCCAAAGAACTTTTGTCATTGAATTACGAATATTTATAATATCTTGATTTGATAATAAATATCTTTCATTATCAATTAAAACTTTTCCCCCTAAATGTCTGTTTACATAGTGAGAAGGGTAAACATTTATTTGTAATAAATTTTGAGCCATCAATTTAACTGTTTCATTTATACGAAGTGGTGGTGGTTGAACTGGTAGACAACGTTGACAATCTTCTAAATGATTTAGATAACCAAATAAACTAATATACAGTCCTTCATGCTTCCTAATTCACACAAAAGCAAGACAACCAACAAACTCATATATTTTTCTTGTTTTTCGTGTTTTTGCTTGTGTTTAAACTCATATCACTTTCACAGCAGCATTGTAAAACATAAATTCCTTTAGCTTTATCACTATAATGTGTTTTCTACAGTCAAAGCTCGTTATAGTGAATCTCGTTATAGTGAACATTAAGTAAAATCGCGTTATAGTGACCTATTGATTTTTTTCTTTATGATTAATTTCTCTCGATACAGTGAATTCTCTTAATAAATCTCGTTATAGTGAAAAAAGGGGAAAAAATTATATAGTGGAACGGAAAGTTCACTATGACGAGCTTTGACTGTATTTATGTTAAGGTAGAATATTTTCTAATATAAGGTTATATTGTTGTAAAAAAACAACGGCATTTTCTTGCATATTATTACTCCATTGTAAGTTAATAAAGTTTGAAACTGGTAAACTATTAAGCTGTTCTTTTTGCTTTTGAGTTAATATTAAATGTGAAGGAATTTTTAATGACATTTTACAAAAAAAAAACTAACACAATTAGTCACTTTAGTGTTTGACGCGTTTAAAAAAAAAAAAATGTTTAAATTGTTTAAAACTGTCCGAACTGAATAAGGAAAGTGGGTCAGTGATCGGCTGTGTAATATGAGGTGGTGTAAGATTTCCCGATTTTAGGTTACGCATAATTCCAAAAAAGGAATTTATAGTTGCCCAAATTTCCATAAAAGGAAATTTTTTACAGATCCTTTAATTCTGGCCGGAATTATGACATTTTTTTTATAATTTCTTTAAAAATTATATAATAAAAAATGTATAATAAGGTTTCAAAAAACTGTTGTATAAATGAAACTTTACAATAAAAACAAAAAAATCATTATTACTTATATTATATTATTTAATTTTACATTTTTTAAGTAATATATATTAACTGTTGATATAGACAACAGGTAAATACTAGTTATATATCAAACTCATTTTATATTAAACCAAATTTACCAGAATGGAAGATTTATTATATCTAGAGTTAATTGTATTATATATTTATATTTTACATTTATTTTATTATATTATAATTTATTAATTTATTTCATATTTATATTTATATTTTTTTTATTAAATAGAATAAATAATATATTATTTAATTTAAAAATTTTATATTTTTTATTTTTTAATAATTTATTTTTATTTATTTTAAATTTTTCAGATTTTTATTATATCTACTGTATTTGCCCAAAAATAAGCAATTCCCGAAAATAAGCAACATGGCCTGCATTATAACAAATTTTAGTCCATATTATTAAAACTTGGCTGGCATTATGTGCAAAAACTTGTTGCTTATTTTCAAGCAAATATGGTATATATGGAATTTAAGAATAGAGTACACACCATAATTGATTTTAATAATCACGTGATGGCATATCAATTTTAAAGTAATACAAGAGAAGATCAATCTAATAAAAAATAGGCAACATGTGCTAAACCCTTTTCATACTTTTTGTGTAAGTTCTTTAAAACCAATAATATATGTTATATAAAAATCAAAGTTCATTTCATTTTGTCAAAATACTTTAACGTTCGTATGAAGTTTAAGAAAACTGCCAATTTTTCAAAAAGTCTGCCAATTTTTTAGTTTGTTCTAAGTAACCATAACTAAAACTTTTATATTATATTAAAAACTATTATAGAAACCAAAAAAGTAAGTCTATTTTTTATTGTTTATTTCTTTAAAATGAAAAAAAAGAAAGAAAAAAATATAAATATAAATTACTATATAATATTATATATATATATGCCATATTATAAAAATAATTTTCTAAGTTAATAATATTGTTTTTTTAAATATATTAGATTGTAAAATACTATTTTAATGTGTTGAAACTGCTGGATTAATATATATAAATTTCAATATTAGTTTTAGGTTCTTTATTTTTATTTATAATAGAACTATTGATTATAGATATTAATTTACTATAAAAAAGGTTTTTCAAAGAAGTAAATTAATTTTTATGGTATTTTTTATGAGGAAAATTTAGAGAATTAATAAATTTAGATTAAAATTTTGTTTTTAAGTTCTTTTCGTTAGCATATGTCAAATTGCCAATCACTTGCCAATGACAATAATTAGTCACATTAACTAATAAAAAAATGATTATATGGTGTACTCTATCCTTAATATAATAAAAAATAGGTTGGAATATCAATATAATATAATTTATATTATATAATTAATTTGAAAAATCATTAGTTCTAAAAAATTTTATAAAAAATTTGTTAGAGGTAGTAGTTTATTTTATGAATTTTTTTTATACATTGTTACCCCTAGTCACATGTAGAGTTACACCTTACTACGCCGAAAAATTATGTAGAAAATTAGGATCTACTGGACCCAACTGTGCCAAGCTGACCTAGCCGCAGCCAACTTAGTCTATTATTTTTATTATTTTTATTATATTAATTATATTTAATGGTGGTGTAAAATTTCGATATATTACACTAAAAACGTAATATTACAAAAGTTTACGCTTTTAAATTTGAATAATTATAGTAATTTAAAAATATCTCGCTATCTACTGATCCAATCAAGACGATCTATAGCTTATTGAAATCAGCTCATCAAGACAAATCGAATGGTAGTAAATTCGCATTTCTACAGTTGATAGAACGTTCTATAGTATGCAATAAAGTTTTAAATTAATAGAAAGTTATCTATCAAACGTAAAGATACAATTTTACTACCATTCGATTCGTCTTGATTAGCTGATTCCAATAAGCTATAGATCGTCTTGATTAGATCAGTAGATAGTGAGATATTCTTAAATTACTATAATTATTTAAATTTAAAAGCGTAAACTTTTGTAATATTACATTTTTAGTGTAATATTTTGAAATTTTACACCACCTTCGAAATATTATACTAAATTACGCCTAAACAAATTTCCTGATGTAATTGCTCTTATTACAATAGCTACATAGGTCATTATTTACCCCTGTAGGTTTAATTATCTTTATAGGTCTATTAATTACAAGCAGAGCACGCCCAGAGCTTCTTAGCTTTAAAGTGTGATTGACAACCTTCAGATCTAGTACTACGTCTGCAACAAATTTCACCAGTATTTTGAAGATGATGACAAATAAATTTTGCTTTCATTTTCTAGATGAATAAATAATTTTAATTAAATAAATCTATATGCAATATAGTAATATATATACTAATTACACAATGAGTACACAAATTCAATTAACAGAAAATAAGCCCACCTCCCAGGAAATTGAGCAGGCATTAATAAACATAATCAAAGCAGGACTCTATTATAGAAGACCAAAGGATGGCAAATTCATGCAAAATTATAAAGAGAGAGTTAAGAAATTACGCTAAGCAGAAGACCTTGAAGAATATGTACTAAAGTTAGCCCAAACCATATTCCCTAATAAAGATAAATATCATCAAATTATGGATGATTACAAATCATATTATGGAAAAGATTCAAAGATTCTTAATTCCATTATGGAACTATACAAGCTATACTATAGATTAGCTAAGGATTATTTTGTTATAGAAGCTAAAATTGATGAAGAAGCAGAAGACTTCCTTAATTCGTGAGCACCTACTAAGGAGGCAATTCTGTATCAAAAGGAATAATCATCAATTCTTCTTAAACAAAAGATCTTTCAGGATGTTTGAGTATATAATCATCATTATTAATTAACCCAAAGGGGACTTCTTCCAACCAGTATAAGACCAGTTGATTTTTTTGCACCATAGATTGACGGATATGATAAATATGAGGTGACCAATTCAAATCACCAGTACGGTGTCTTCCACCCTTCAAATCACTAGAATATAGTAAATATCGAACAAGAACATTACCAGAAAGCTTCTCTTCATCAAAGTCTATGATAGGGCCATCCTGAGGATAAGAAGGCTTAGCTAAGACCTCTTCTTTCTCTATTGCATCAACAGGAGAAATACCAAGCTGGCATGTGATAGAATCATTAATATATTTGACAACAATAGGCAAATTTCTTACCCAAGTTCTAGATATCTTATTCATGTGTAAAGTTAAAAGGTTAGAGGCATTCTGAGATCGAAACAGATTTTTAGTTAAGTCTCCATTAAATTTTTCAGTAATACCTATAGTATTTTTAGATTTGGCCTTTTGAATTTTTACATTATACTCTCTCATTAATTTCTCACAATTGCCTCTAAACTCTGGACCCTTATCAGTTAAAAATGTTTCTGGCCAAACAAAAGGATACTCAGGATCATTATAGATTTTCTCAAGAGCTCTAGCAATAGTCTTTAAAGTTAAGATTCCCTGCCTATCTTTAACACTATATGTACCAATAGGAATAGATACTTTATATTTTGAAGTCACATCCACCACATTAAGACAAAAAAGATAGGTAATCTGACCTACTTTATCATAAGGCATGTAGAAAACATCTGCCTGATGAACTTTATTAGGAGTGGTAATAGAGCAAAAACTTGCTTGAGGAATATATTTAGGACGAGGCTTATATATCTGATATACAGCCTGTCTTTCAAGCCAATCTTTCACTTCATCTAGAGTAAAATCATACCCATCTTTAAGAGATACTTCAAACAATTTTTTCGCATTTCTTTGGTAGCCAATAGGCTGGTAATAAATCTTCTGCAAAGCAATAAAAAAAATCAGGTTTTCGAGCTTCATCTGAATCTATCTGAATAATAGGAATCAATGGGGGTTAAGTAGGCATATATTGATTTACTAGACAGCAATTTAGAATTGCGAATAAAGTTGACTAAAGAGGAACCTATTACCATTAGAAATAAGGAAAAGATTCGCAAGCTCACAAATGATCTAGAGTGATGTGAGCTATATATCAAATATCTTGAAAAAAATCTTATTTCACAAGAGGATGAGATAGATAAATTAAAAGTAGAATACTACTCCATCTTACATAATCTCAAAAAATGTCAGAATAATTTAAAGCTAAAGGAAGAGGCATTAGTCGCTCAAGATAACCGAATCATTCTGCTAGAAGGTACAGTAAAAAAGCTCAAAAGCCAAATTCTCAAGATATCACATTTTCAAAATAACAGTAATAAACTTTCTGAAGAAGACGAACAAGAAAATATGGCACTGCAAGATATTTTAAGGAATGTTGGTACAGCTCTAGATCAGGTTGAAAATTATATTGATGGAGTGGATACAACATTTAATCCAAAAAATACTCTAAATGGAATACGGATCTCATTAACAACTGTTCGTGATCATATGCAAAGGTATGCTCAAGATGCTATTAACTTACAAGGTTTACTCTATATAGCTAATGGGCAGATCAATAATCTTATGAATGACTTAACAAATACTAGGAATGATGTATTTCAAAGAACTCAGTTGTTAAATTTAACATATAATAATGAGGCAAATGAACATCATCGTTGGTATCTGACTTGGCTGAATTCAATCGGGTATGGGTATTTAATCGATATCAAAAATGGAAGGCTAGGGAATTAAATTCGCGACAAATTATCTTAAATTTACAAAACAATCTTCTAGCAAACAAGGCGAATATGGCAGATGTAAACCAACTTTTAGGCCTACAATTGGCCTCCCTTCCATTTTATGATGGACAAAAAGAGCCAGATTCATATTATGCTAAACTTAGAACTATAAACGAATCAGCCTGATCTTTAGCAGTTGCAGGATTTAATGTGGCTGCCAGAACTAATGTCATGAAAGGAAAAATGACTGAAAGATTTCATCCTGTTCCAGCTAATGATCCATACACAGCAGGAAATCTAGCTATTAATACAGAACCTCTCTTTCTGGTATAGCTACAGGGAAGATATAGAGAGATAATGGTTGGAACTAATCGGGATGCACTAAGGGTTTTATGAATGAAAAATTTACTGTAATGGATACGGCAGATACTTATGAGAAAAGGGTTAAACCATATCACTGGTCAAAAACCAATATATCGGGTAACAGATATGTATCAGATATGTACCCGATATGTGTAGTATTAATGCTAAAAATTGGGTACCCGATATGTATATGATATGTAAATGATATGTAGACGATATATATATTTATACATATCTTACACATATCGGGTACCCGATTTTTAGCATTAATACTACACATATCGGGTACATATCTGATACATATCTGCTACCTGATATATTGGGTTTTGACTAGTGTATGTTCAAGGAATTTCTTATGCGGATGCTATAGAATATCTTTATGGATATATGCTTCAATATATAGAAATAAGACTTAGGCAAGCCAATCCGGCTAATTTGGATGTTTTCTTTACAGATTTGTGAAGAATTTGGTTGAAAAGTAGGGGGCAAATTGCAGAACAGCAACCTTTTCTCAGCTAGACTTTACCTATTATTCAATCACCAAAAGATGATTTTAAAATTCGGCTAGCAAGGGATTTGGCATATTCAGGAATAGTAACAGATGATGCAACATTAGAAAATTTTATCTATGAAGATAGAGATCCTGGGCAAAACTGAAATATTTAGTCATTTGACTAAACCGAAATAGTTTAGACATTTAAAATTAAAAAACGAAATGCCGAAATTTAATATTTCATAGTATTTCCATAGATTTTTTATAGATTTCCATAGATTTTTAATTATAATAATTACTTATAAAAAAAAAATAATAAATTTATATTAAAATATAATATTTTTTAAAGGAATTTATAAAACTATTTTATGTATAATATAATTTAATATATTTTTATAATAAAATTATAATTTTATATAAATAAAATTTAAACTTAAAAAATATTACTATATAGTTTAGTCAATGACGAAACTGAAACTAGTTGGTGACGAAACCGAAATTTTGGCAAAAAGAGTTTAACTAGGTATTACTATATAAAGAACTTCAAAAGAGGTTAAGAGGCAAAACAGCTCATGTTAAAAAGAGTCCCTTTACATCTAGAAGTACCTATGCCATAAAGAAGATTGTTAGAAAGATAGTACCAAGCAAAGCGCCTATCGGCAAAGTATCAAGTAAACTTGTCTGACATTGCTCAGCATGCAGAAAGGCTGGTCATATAAAGGTTAATTGTCCTAAAGGTAAGCGGACTAAAAAAGTTAATTATGTATATCAAGATGAGGTAGAAGATCCTGAAGCCTCTGAAGAAGAATACATAGTGGAAAGCGAAGTTGATTCTGAAGAAGAGGAAATCGAAAATGATGATGTCAAATATGTTGAAGAAGATGATAGTGAATCTAGAAACTGTTATGCATCAAAAAAAAGCGGTGCGAAGTGAAGTACCTATGAAAAAGAAGTCCTCTACTTCCAAATCTCATGCTGAAAGTGCTAAAACAAAGAGGGCATCAGGCAATATAACAATGGCCACAGAACAAATGAAAAAAATAGCCTTAAAATCTATGGTATCATCAGTAGTCCTACATTGTCCTAAAAAGATTCTTGTAGAAATTGCAAAATTTCTTAATATGATATATTCCAAATTAAAAGGCCATTACTTAAATACTGTTATGCCAAATGATACCATTAAAAGAAGGGAGTTAGCATGGGAGAATGTTAATAGCTATATTCAAGATATTTTATTACCACTATTACAGGCAGTAAATACTGAGCAAAAGCCTCTTTTACAAGTCCTAGATGATAAAGAATCAATCCACAACTTAAATGAAGAGAACCTGGCAGATTCTACTAAAATAGCCATTAGCCATTCAAACACTTCGCAGACGCTTCGCAAGAAAATTAATATTACATACTCTAGCCAGTCAGAGAATCCCTCTGACTTAGTCTGATTAGACTATGCTATTAAGGTCTATGCTCAGCATCATTCAGCAGAAAAAAAAAAGTGACATGCAAAGCGTCTCACAGCTGATTCCTATATATTGGCCTAAACCATTAGAGATAAATTTTCTCCAAATAAAGAATGCTGACGATGTTGCAACTATTTATTGTAAGATAGGAAGTTTAGAAATACCTTGTGCAATGATTGATACAGGATCAGATTCTTCTATATTTTCAGATAATATTGCAGAATTAGTTGAAGAGCTTTTGGGTATCAAAATTAATAGGATAAAGATCTACAGTCAACTCTTATTATAACGAACCCTAGGTTCCAGACCTCAACTTTACTATAGGACTATAGTGAAGATTTTAAGAGATTTGATTAGTTAATTCGTTATAGCAAGGGGAAATTTATTATAGTTGTCTAAAAAATTCACTATATCAAAGGTTCGCTATATCAAGGTTTGACTGTATACGCTTAATGGAGTTGTAAGCAAATCTCTATTCATTGGTACTATGGAGGATATTCCTATAACAATTGGTTCAGGAGAAAATACAACCACTATTACAGATGAATTTTCTGTTGTGCCTGCGGAAAAGAATTAGAATGGAAATGCTAAATCTTTAGTAATTCTTGGGACACAATGGCAATATTGAGCTGGATAGGAGCCTTTAATAAAAGGAGAATTTAAGGCTACATGTAACGGAAAGACTATCACAATCCCCCTATCAGTTCACAAATCCCAGCGTAATGTCTTCACTGTAGGAAAGGAGCCAGAAGAATGGTTTCCTGTAAAGCCAAAAAAAACTAGATGATCGGGCATGTATGTATTGTAAAAAGGAATTCAGATATCCTTATTTATTTTTACGTCATAAAAAAACTAAATGCTGGATTAATAGCGAGTCTACAATGAGTCTACAACAAGATAAAGTCAAGTTTACGTTGGGTAATGTTGAGTCTACAATGAGTCTACAGCGGGTTAATATCAAGTCTACAATGAATCTACAACCAGATAATGTCGAGTCTAGAATAAGTTCACAACCAGTCAATGTTGGGTCTAAGATTAAACTAGACTAATCATCTTAGACAGATTTTCAGAAAGTATATTTTTTTTGGATATTTAGATTACTCTTTGCATCTTCCCGTTTTCTAGTCCAATATTCAGCATCATGAAAAGAAATAAATGTATTTGGCTCAATTGTCCCATCACTTCCAGCACTAGGATTGGAGAATATTACTCGATCATTGAGAGCTATAATTTTTAGGTCTTTAGTAAAAATAATATCCTCCAAATCTTTACATACAGAATCGGCAGTCTTCTTTATATCCCATTTTTCATTCATAAGCTGGGAAATAGTAGAGGATAACTTGCCAATCTCCTTATCTTTTATAGCATTAGCTTTATCCAAAGCAGAGATATGAGATTTATATTGCTTCTCTAGCTCAGCTAAGTGTGAATTATGCTGGGATTCCAATTAATATTTAAATGAATATGTCTTTTATTTCATATCTACCATGCAATTATTATATTCACTCTCTAGACGAGACTTAAGAGCATCATATTCATCTTTTAGATATTTACATTCCTCAGCAACCTGGGCCTCAATAGTTTTCTTAATATTATTCTCCTGTTGCTATACATGAAGCTCACGTTCCTCTAACTGTTTTTCAAACCCATCTAACCAGGATAATGTACTAGAACCATCAGAGAAGGTATTTGCTTCGATCTTAATCTTCTGGCAATTTTTTTTATTAAAGTATCTATCAACTTCTCTAGTAAGCAATTCCTCAATATCCGAATGAATACTTTTAGCCTGTTCCTCAAATAAGGGATTATTTTTGCGGGTTGTAAGATGCAACCATGCATCTTTTTTCATGAATGGGGGTAATTGGTCAAACAAATTCTTATAGTGTTCGTTGAAATTTGGTTGGCTGGACATATATTCGATTATAGGTAAGTGATATAATCTTGGAAAATTCCTGGAAAAAAATATTTCTGGAAGTTCAGAAATTCCATATTTTCCTAGAAGTTTGGGTATTCTATTTGTTTCCAGCAAAACTTTCCACCTAAAAATTAGCCAAAAAATTAGCCAGGCCTAGATTCTGGGAAAAAATACTAAGATTATTCTCAGAAAATTCCTTCTAAACAATTGTAATTTCTGTTCCATCATCTAATTTTAATACTGGTCGATTAAGATAGTTTATAGATGGTAGTAAATTATTTTGTTTTGCATACAGAGACGAGATAAATATTTCGCTTGTATTACTTCTGCAATTCGATGATTGATAAGAAGTTGGTGAAACCATCTCTTGGTTACCAGAGGTAATAGAAATACAAGCTGGCTCGAAATTTGAAGCACTTAGTTGCTATAGTTGCAGTATTAGCCTTGAAGCAAAAGTAATTCTAATGATTCTTCATCAAATCTTCAGACTCAACCTCATAGGCCCATCTCCCCAGCCACTATAATATTCCTTTCTAGGCTCTACTTTGGTAATCTTTACCAATTTCTGGCATTTAAAGCAGATAGCCATCTGACTTTTATGGACACTAGGTCTACGATATTCAAAGGGGTACTATATAAATCACCATTAACATAGTATGTTGTGGATTTTACTTGCCCAAAGGAAGCGAAGAGGCAATACACATGATATAAACTATATCCTTGCTTAGAAAGTAGTTCTTGCAGAGAACCTCTTACACGATTAGCCATTGCTGAGGAGTTTCATGAGGTCTAATAATAGATAAATAATCATATTGTTTTTCTATTTCAACCACTTTTTCATATCGATAGTTATCAGTTTGAGGTCGATAGTTAAAAACATGTTCCATATCATATCCAGGGCGGAGATTGATAGGTTTAGGTACAATTTTATTATAAACCCTATCTATAATGATTTTAACCATGTCACCAGGCATAGCTATGCTAGTATAACTAATTATTAGTAAATTAGAGATTTATAGCAATTTCAGAGTTTTATAGTATTTTTAATGAATTCTGACAATTCTTTAGCAACTTATACTAGATAATATCACCATTCAAATTTATACGGATTTAATTAGCGGTTAATTGGTTTGTAGCCTATCTGTGAGACTACATGCTAGTAAATCCAAAATTCATTTTTTTTTATTCGATTACGAGCATATCGAGATTTATATAGGGTCATATCTAGCCGGCTATGCTAATTTTATATTTACATGCATATGCATAGCGCCTTCGGCTAAATTGGTTTGTACTGTATATCGTATTACATGAAATCTCCCTTAGTTCCCCGATAGTTCTAGGAATGTTCCAGGAGCGATCCCTCTGGGATCAGCTGGCGAGTTTCTATATATCACGAGATGATCGGCCAATCAGATTTCGGATTTTTTCTGATGGTAGAGTCTGGACACGGTGTCCGGGCTCGTTATACACATTTAAAAAATAAAGCCCGATATGGGCCGGATATGCAAATGCTTTATTATATGTTTGAGAATACATGTGAAACGAAATTCTTTTTTTTTCTGATGGTAGAGTCTGGACACGGTGTCCAGGCTTAACTTGCGCAGAAAAAAGGATTAATCATATGGCGCAGTAGTCAGCAAATTAGCCATGGTTTTTTATTCGAAATCTTATTGGAAGTAGCAAATTATTTTCCATGATGTTCGGGCAAAAAGTACTTTATATTATATTTAGCAGTTCATTGATGCATGTCAAACACTAAAATAAAACCCCCAAAATGCTTTATTAATACATGTTGAAATACATGTGCAAGAAATACTATTTTTTCTGATGGTAGAGTCTGGACACCGTGTCCGGGCTCGTCAATATTGCGCAGAAAAAATGAAATAAATCATGTGGTGTAGTAAAGTATGTCAAGTGATAATTTATCGCAGTACTCTGTGAAAAAATCATGTGACACTGTGAAAAAAATTCACGCACTTTTTCTTGGCAAAAATGATCTGTATAGCTAAAAAAAAGAAACGTGTAACTGACATAACTCATGGCGCAGTATTTTTTTAATCGTCACCAGGGCGCAGTAAAATGTGGCACAATATTACGTGCTTTTAAAACTTCAGCAATTACATAATTGGTATCATCTACTCATTTTACCCGTGCTATTTTTTCTTTGCCTGTAGTATTGAAATTCTAAACATCTTTTGGGCATAATTAGAACATTTTGTGTAACCTTTCTCGAAGCCATAAAAATCATATGACAAAAATTTTGCTGATCTTTGGGTCAGGAAATCCTATCTTTTGAGCATATCTATTGGTAACAGCGATTACATCACAATAAAGTATACACGAGTTAAAAATAGAATGTAATATTATGGACAGGTTTCAAAGTTATGCATTAAGTGATAAGTTTTTTTTGCATTTTCTAATTTGGGCATAATTTAGACAAATCAGATTGCGTATGGACTAATTTTCAACAAGTCATTTCATTTCACTTCTGAAGCAATGCAATCTGTATTAAGTATGTCAAGGTGATAGGTTATCTAAATATGCACTTAGTGGACCTTCATGTCGTTGATTCAAGAAAAAAAGTCCTCCTCCACTCCAGTGGACATAAGTAAATTGGTCCAGTACATCATTCCCGATGAGGGAAGAATCCACCTAGTCACCGGCCTTTCATTCCCACACCCAAAGCGTATTGGTCTGGACCCATCTGCTCCAATTATTATCATCCCCAATAGATACTTGAAATGGGTCTGTAGCTAAAAACAAGTTAGCAGGTACTCCATATCCAGGCGCAACTACCGCTTGTCTTTCCCATCCTGTTCCTAGGTATGAACGGACTTCGTAGGGTAGTATTGTCTCTGGAGCACCTGTGTCAATAACTGTCTTGTAAAGTTTATTCCGATTTTTTGTATCATTAAATCGATAAGCAAGAGTAATAAAATTTGTATTTTCGTCTCCAACTCTTTTGACTCGAACTTGAATCTTTATTAATATTATTCTTTATTAACAAAAAACTAAATAGCAAAGCAAATTATATAGATCAAAAAAAAAGTGTGAGTTTAAATGTATCAAACCATATATTCTCCCCCACCAGCAGAACGTTGGGAAAGTACTGCTCTCGCTGCGGGAATTTTAGGATTAAGAAATTCTCCACGAAGTAATGAATCTACTGGGAGATAAAGGGCACCAGGCATTTCACGATCAAGATCTGACCGTTGCTTATTTGACTTCTTTTCTCCATATTCAACCACACTCTGCTTGTACACCAGCACCCAATCCTGTTTATGTTCATCAAACATTCCATTATCAAGACTATTATAAAAATAAATGCAATTTAGCGCGTATTCTTGATCATCTTCGGTTACATCGTTATCAGTGAAAACCCAGAAGACTTGATCTCTGGTGTTTTGGGGCATAGAAGTAGGCCATCTGAAATCATTTCCCATACGATCTATAAAGATGTTAGTTAATTAGACAATAGAATAATATAATATACAAAATTTTGGTCGTACCTAAAAATCTCTGTGCCTCATCAGTATCTTTTTCATACGCACGAAGGGAATCCACAGTTTTGGGTGGAGTTTCAAGAATGAAGGGAGTCTAATTCCTCGATGATTTGAGCTGAAGTATCTTTAGCTGTGGCCACAATATTTTGTTTCGTATTAGTTGAAGTACCTTCAGCATTTCCTTCGACATTAACAGCTTCGACATTAACAGTCTCGCTTGCTGGGGTAATAATAGTAGACTCACCTTTAGCTGTAATTAGCAGAATATTCAGTACAATATGATTGAAAGTTCTACATTAAACCTTGCAAAAAACCGAACCTTTCTTTCTAGAAAATATTCTTTTGAATTTTTTCATGGCTGTAACGAGTACAAATCACCTCATGGCAAGCTTTCTAATAAATACTTTATGATTGATTTTTATTTTTAATTTTTAATATCTATGTGAATACTTTATGATTGATTGATGTAAGTTATCAGAATATTTAACAATAAAAGATCATCACATGATCATTTTGACTTTCTAATACTGCGCCAAATTTCGCACGTGCCAACAATCGATTTTCCTGAATAACATATCTGATATATATAATTTTTTTGCTTTACTTGTACAAGGTAGATAAAAAGATTCATTATCTAGGGGCCTTTCCTATTTATATGACTTTAATGTTTTAAGGATATATTTTGAAAGCTTGAGTATATGGGGGAAATTTCAAGAATAAATTATATGATGCATCAATATGTAAATATATTGTACTTAATTTTGTTCATACTATCTTTTACTGCCTTGACTATTGATCTGCCATTTGGCATACAACAATGCCATTATGTGGCTATGATTGCGAACTTAAGTTTTTTGCTTGAAGTGTTGCAGGTAAGACAATATTCCCACTTATCTTGAGATAGCAACTTCGCTAATTCAGGATTATAAGGGAACTGATTCCCATTTTTGCAGTACCATGAGCCATGTAATCCATAATTCCCATGTTTTCCATTACAAATAGGGCATGGTGAGCTCCACGGCTGAAGTGATGCAAAATTATAATTATCAATTCCCCTAAAACTATTTCAGAATTTCAAGTATGGAAAGTGCTCTAAGATGGATTTGATAATTAATTCTGGATTGGGTCTGGCTTTGAAAATAATAAGTTTGAAATCAGAGGCTTGGCCAGAGGCGCTAAAGCAAGGTTTTTCTGATATACTTATCACAGCTTCTGTTAATTGCTATGGTTCATTTCCATTTTCTTTTTTATATCTTTTATATAATTTGAAACGAATCTTATCTGTCAAAATACTTGGTAACCCAGTTAATTTGGCATACTAATCCAGATAATCAGCAGTTAGTATTTTAACAAACTCAGTCATTTTCCTTTTTATATGATTGCAGACAATTTAAATCTCTTTTTTTTCATATAGACCTATTCATTTGAAAAAAAGATTAAAAATTTCCAGACTATTTATTGTAAAGTGAGACTATGCAACTATTTCAATTTCACGCTGTTTACATTTAATAAAGTAAGATCCGGATTTATACCTACCTTCTATTTCTTTATCATCATGACTATACTTTTCGTCAAAATGACAAAATACTAATTAAATTTATTTTGACAGACGTAATGTATTTTGACAGACGTAATTAATTCATAGTAATTTTATAATAAATAGTGAATTGGTCCGTTCGCCGAAATATGACGTAATTAATTAGCGGAGAAGTATAATCATGACCTAAATTACATAATGGGCAGATGTAGTCCCCGCATGATGTCTCATCAGTCATCCCATAATAATCGAATTTTTCACTACTACCTTCTTTATATAGATTAGGATATTGATCCAATATTTTATTGCGAAAATAGGTGCGGTCATAAGTTGGCTTAGATTGAACTCACGCCTTTAATACATTTACTTGAGACATGCCTGATGAAATCATTTCCGATGGAGCATTTATCTTGATTTCTTTTTCATTCGATAAGAACTAACACTTAATGTAGTAAGAGCTCTTTATACCTCGGCCAACTACCTTCCCTTTATTATGCTCTTTTTCACATCCAGAATATAAGCCTGAACTCTTAAATTCATATCTGTCATTATGTCTATCACTATTATATAAGGATAGGTAGGGATATTCTTTCAAAGTCACATTGATATAAGGAGCACGAGCATCATATGGGATGACCGATGAATTGACTGAAACTGAAGAATTAGTGGGTGTAATTGGAATTCTTACTTTAGATTTGGCAGGCGCAGTTGCATCACTAGTGATCATTTCTGAAGTCACGTGAGTGCGTGAATTTTTTCACGCAGTATTGTTTTAATAGTATCAATTTGCATGTCAGTTAATTTTGAGAGTTTATTTGTACTATACGATTTGATTCACATTATCTTATTTTCTCCAATCATATCGTTAAATAATATATATATGGGCTTAGTTAGTTGAATTTTTTTGCGCAAGTTTACACGAGAGACTCCTGAAAGATGCTGTAGCATTTCATCATAAATCTGCCCACTCGCAAGTTCATAGGTTTTTTTATTCGTAATAAATCCTTTCTTTAGGATTTCAGGCAAAATCTCATTATGTCTTTTTTCAAAATACCTTCTATAGCAATACCAGCTCATGATTTCATCTTGTTTGGCTTGTATAGTCCTAATTTCAGTAAGTTTCATTTTTTCATATAGATAGGCTAATTTGATTGCAAACGATTGATCAATAGCAGTACTCTCCTCCACATTAACAACCTTAACACAATCTTCTTCTAAAGGTTCTATAAGCAATTCTTGTATCAAAGGCTGTATATCTATTTGAAGTGCTTTTATTTTAGCATTTTGTTCTGATAAGACAGGATTATTAGAGATAGGATGCGAACTTGTGGATAATTCTGACGAAAGGATAACAGAAGTACTAGGTAAATCCAAGTCTTGAAGCTTTTTTTCCTTATTTCTTTGCCTGATCTTATTACTAACCTTTTTCTTGTATTCTCCATCCAATCTCTCTATCCCCCAATAGAGCTTTCTCGAAAGAAATATCTTTAATAGAACACATATCCTGCAAATTAGTAATGTCTTGAGTTTGCTGTTTGATATCAGGATCAGATATTAAATCATTCTCAATGGAACTGATTTTAAGGGGCAGGTGGTTTCTTCGAGAACGTAATCCTGAGTCATTTTGTGAGTTATTATGTAAAGTGCTATTTTTCAGATAAGAAATAGTAGGTTCTGCGAAGTGCCTTAATGGCAAGGCTTCTTGTTCTTTTATAATAAGTGCTTTAATCATATCAGAATTATGATTCAAGGGTTTAGTATCCTGTGAAGCTTTTATCTGAGAAATATCATTCCTTTCTTTGACTTTAGTAGCAGGACATTCAAGACAAACACTATGAATCATATATCTATCTGTAAGAATAGTAATATTTTTTTGTTGCGGATTTGTGAAAATAAGTTCATGACATTCTGAACATAAAAGCAATTCACGAATTCTTCCAGCTAAGATATCCCACACAGACGTATCTATATCTGGCCATGATTCTTTAAAAGCATTTAATGTAGTATATATAATATAATTCATTACTCACATTAGTGATGAATTTATTATATTTATGTTATGTCAAATAAAAAATCATATAATTGTGTGAAAAAAAAATTCACGCACTTTTTGCCAAGAAAAGAGATTTTTATTAATACATGCAAAAAATAAATACATGATGGTTAATTAATCCGATACATGACGAAGTATCTATGCAGTAGTGCTCCTAACAGATCAGATCAGATCAGATTTTACTTAGATTCAATCTGATCTGAAATTAATTAAATCTGATCTGATCTGATCTGATCTGAATTAGATCGGTTTAAATTTAATCTAAATCTGATCTGATTTGAATCTGATTTGAATCTGAATAAATATATTATAAATTCTAAAGCTATAATTTGTAAAGAAAATTATCATTTATCGCGTATGCGATTCATCGCTAGTATCCATTTGTCATGTGATATGTCACGTGATATGAAGTAATGATTATCAAATCTCTTCCCACGCTTTCTTTTTATCCTTAAACTTTTTTTATACTTCCCACGAAACTTTTTTATCCTTCTCACGAAGCTTTTTTTCCCTCCTTTAGCATTTTAACCGACACAAGTATTTATAAAGTTATTTCATTCATTTTTACTCTTTTTATCTAACTATTCCTTATAAAAACACTGATATTTTTACCCATAACCTACTACCTTAATTACAACAACACCACTTCTAATATGAATGTAAATGAACGAGCTTATACTGACGCTACTGACAGTACTGGCGATACTGATGAATCATCAAACTTATTAGCAGCTGCAGGTATCTTTGCTATGAAATATGTTGTTTTGAATTCATGTTAGTATTAGAGTTAGGATTAGGGTTAGGGTTAGGGTTAGGGTCTGGTTAGGATTAGGGTT